TTACCTCGCTTTGTCTATCTCTTACTATTTTTGGCACATGTGCCCACTATTATAATATTGCCCACCTTTTGAGGCAATTCACATTATATTTTATTCTGTAATCATGTGAAATTTAATTATAAATGTAATTTTTTATTATTGGCTTCGTCTGGGTTCAATGGGCGCTGCTTCAATTGGTTAGATTCGCTCTGAAGTGTATCTGTGTTCGCTTTGTGTTGGTGTTGTCTGCGTGGGCAACTGATATGACAAGACCAACAATAACAATAACAACAACAAGAGCGACAACAACGAGAAGAGCAATCGTCGCCAACGCACATATTTCCTGTGGCCCGGCGGCTTATCGATTTTTAGTTTGACGTAGTAACGATTCCAGTTATTATTTCATTATATATTTAGACACAGGGATGTTCATGCTATAGGTAACAATTGTCAATATAACAATTTTCATATTCGGTATGGCATAGGGTATTAAGGCTAGGTGTTTGGGTATGGGAGGAGCTGAAGGAACCTTGAAATAATAATGAAAATATGGATAAAGATGGATGTAGCTATAGATATAGATATAGATATAGATATAGATATAGATATAGATATAGATATAGATATAGATATAGATATAGATATAGATATAGATATAGATATAGATATAGATATAGATATAGATATAGATATATATATATATAGATATAGATATAGATATATATAAAGATAAATACCAAAATTTATAAGAAGTCTAACCTCTTATGAACTCAAGTGCTGCAGCTGCAGGGTATATTCTAGTCAACCACTTCCTATACTCGTTTGACTTGTCATTGTCAAGCTAATATACTTTTTCTTGGAAATTTACCACAAATTTTTTATTAGACAAATATCATTAAAAATAGACTAAGAGCACAGCTCGTGCCTGGGAGTGCAAATTGTTCGCACTTTAAGGTGAAAATCAATTAGAAACTTTTTAAAATGAAACTTGAACGAACTAGATTTTCGAAGAATTATCTTATGATATTTGAAGTATTTCAATTTCACTTACTTCTAATTTAACAATTTTTTAATAAGTAACGATATTCAAGTTAAGTCATAGAACTATTCGAACTCATTATAATGCTATACATTTTCATGAAAATTGTTTTCAAATTAATGCAATTACAGTGCAAAAAACGACATATCCGAAATTTGTATATACATAAATGTAATTATTCCTTAAAAGACGCTCTCTCTCTCTCACTCTTTGTTATCTGTCCATTTTGACAGCCATTAAAAGAACAAATGTTAAGCGAATTGATAACAATTTGGGGGTTTCCAATGAAAGTTTTCAATTAATGCTGATAAAAGTTAATTGTTGGCTTTTAATTAAGCGGCTCATTCATATTTAGTTGACGCTTTCGAAACTCTACTTAAGCTGAATGCAAGAAATATTTAGTTCTCCATTTAACAGAAAGTGTGAAAAATTGTTTCTCTTTTTGATTTTCCTAACTAAACGTGTTCCCACAATTGTTAACGCTGGCTCGATCTCTCTCCCTCTTTCTCAGTTCCCAAGCTTGAAGGTCTTTGCATAACTTAAGTTTACAAAATGCGTTAAGGTGTTATGTTTTGTTTTTTTTTATGGCTCATTGCGTGCATACCCCTAATGTGGGTGACATTGGGTCTGTCATAGTTTTTCCATTGCATTCGCAAATGTCATCGTTTGGCTTCCATTTTGGTTTATATTTATTTGGGCTGGCAAAGAGAGAAAGAGAGAGCGAGAGTAAGAGGGAGTGTGTCTGTGTGTGTGAGAGAGAAAAAGGTCAAATGGTTTTTTGATTTCATCGTCGTCTGAGCAACAGCCAAACAAAATGCCAAATGTCATGCTCAATGGAACTTGGGAACCGTTGCACTTGCTTGGCCAGCAGTTCTGACCCACTTGGCAAGCATATTGGTAAAATCTGCGCCATTAGGCCAAGCAAACCCAAAAACAAATAGAAAGAAAAACAACAACAACATATGAAATTTCACTACAATTCGCACTAATAAAGATGACGACAACCTTTGTGTGAAATGCCATTGGCTTTGCTCCTTGGAGGATTGGCAACTGGACATTAATTAACTTAATTACCTGTGCGCTCGCCTTTTGGCGTCTAAGTGGGCGCTGCCTAAGGCGGTCCTAGGCACGCCTCAGTATGGCGGCACGATGGCTACCAAAAGGTGGCGTCATAATAGCGCTTGGTAATGAGGTAATGGAGCAGTCATAACTCGGGGCATAAATTTCCATTTGCCAGAGAGAAAGGCTATGCAGGCAGCCATGAATGTTGCCGCAACATGCCACGGCAACATGCATACGAAAGCAACAACAACAACAACAGTAAATACTCTCCATAACAAACCATACAAATATCGTAATTCAAATTTATGGCTCGACACGCGAATCCCCTCGAAAAGCACAAAAAACTGAGCGTCGATCAAGCTTAAAGTGATTTCGAAGGGGTGTGGGAGATAACAGGGGTGGACAGGGGCAGCTTGGCAGCGAAACCAACACACGTCTTGTGTATAAAACAAAAGCTAAGTGAAAACAGCAAAGATTTAAGCTAACAACGAAGCTAAGATACGCTTAAAAAACCAGAGTTTGACAAAGAACAATATTTTTTCTTTGAAATTTACGTTAATAAGCAGATATTTATATTATATTATAATACCTAGCTGCTTGTCGTAACAATGAATGAAATCTGTAATGAGCAAAGAGAAACAGCTGAAAGCTGCATTTCAGACAGCTTCAATTTCCCAGTTGCTGAAATTAAAGACGAACCCGGATATGCATTACAGAATTCATGATAAAGTCATTGTAGCCATGCTAAAAGGGTATTCAGACAAAACTTAAATTCAGACGGCTTGCAACGATGGGTAGACAATGGCCAAGTGAAACGTGCCTGTGAAGAATAAAAATTATGATGAAAAAAAAATATATATATACATAAAATCATAAACGAGCTTCAATCAGCGGCACGGCCAGTGGTGTGAGTGCGAGTGCGAGTGAGTCGAGCGTGTGAGTGAGAGGCAGCTAGGCATACTCATAGCATTGGTCTGACATAACCTACGTTCAGCTTTAGGCAAAGGAGCAGGGGACGCAAGGGGACAGCTGACTCATTGAACGGTTATGCACGAGGATGGCATATACGGCAAGGGAGAGAGCGTGATAGTAGTAGTGGAGGATAGAGGCAAAGTAGGCATTCAATTGGCAATGATCGCTTAATGACAACAATTTCAATAATTTGCACAGACTGTGACGTGAAACATGGAATGTCGAATGTGGAATGTGGAATGTGGCATGTGGCATGTGTGGCGAAGCGCGCCAGAGTACTTAAATGAACTTGACAGTAGAAGAGATAACTGATTGCTCTCGTAACTATATAGCGTGACAGTTAGTTTTGAAATTGCCCGCTGTGCCAAGTGGCGCAACTCGTTTGATCCCTAGCTAGCGACACCTGTTGTCCAGACAGCAAAGCGGCTTTAACTAAATGTCACAAAAATCTTAAATTTCATTACTTTGAGTAGTTCAAATCACAGTTAATTAAATAAAATTGTCATTTTTAATTACACAACATTATTTAGCATGACAAATATAAGAATAATTTTTTAAGTCAATAAAACTCAAGTATACTTAGTTAATTGCGATAAAAATATTAATTGAATATTTTTATTTTTTATGGCATTCATTTAATTCCATAATGGGAATTCACAGAAAAGTAAATTCTTTATATATTTTTTATAAATAAATTAAAATTTTAATAAAAAAATTTATTTTTAAATGGTTGAGCTGAGATTATATAATAAAGGATTTATATATAGATTTTTATTTAATTTACCTTAACTAGACCTACGATCAATCATTTTTTTTTTCTTAACAAACAATTATAAAAGTTAAATAAAAAATTACAAATTTGAAAAATAAAATAAAATAAATATTAATAAATATTATTTATATATTATAATCAAAGTAAATTCAGCAAATACAATCGCTTTAAGCTGCAGCATTTAACTTATGATTTGATAAGTTAAGATATTCTTAAAAGGGCATATCAAGTGTCGACCACGTTAAAGCTTTGTTTACCCAACTCTAATTGGATCATGCTAAATATGGTGTAGTTAGCGCGTGGTAACAGTTTTCATTATGAAAATGACTAAAGAAACGAAGCCACGAAACGAACTAAATGAGGATGTGGATACGGATATGGGTACGGACTCGGTCACGAGATACTTCAGTTAATGTCCTGGGTGTGTTTGCTAGTTGCGCCTCTGTCGATATGAATCATCAGCAAGAATTTGGTGGCGCGACCTGGTTTTGTGTTGTCAGCCAGTTGTTGTTGCTGTTGTTGTTAACGGTAAATCGGTCAACGTCGTGGGGTCATCATCGGAATCTAGTGCAGCAAGTCAGCGAGTCAGACAAAGCACTGAGCAGCGCTTGGTTGGAAAATATGTGGTTGCAAACAATTTACGTAAATTAGCGCAATTACAGCTGGCATTCTTATTTCTTTTTTTGCTGTATGTATCCGTCAGATACTTTCTAGTCTGAACAAGCGGAGCCATTGAAACCGGTTTCAGACTTATTTTTTTTTTAAAGAGTTTCTATTTACAGTGTTTCTACTGTTTGTAGTGTTTACTGTTGAATGTTGAATGTTATTTATTGTTGTTTTTGCTAGAAATGTCAGCAGCATTAAATAGTCAATATACAGTAGTCAGGGTTGTTGTTGCAAGAGAGAAACATTTTCCATAAGCACACATGAGAGAGACGGCAGCAAGAAAAATCATACGAAAACGCAGTTAAATAAAATATGATGCTAAGTAAATATAAGCTAACAATATCAAGAGTGAAACATACAAAACAACGACGACGCAATCGAATGTACGCCAATCTCTAAAGTCAAATCAAAATCAAAATGTCTTCAAAAATAGTTCACTAATTCTATCTCTCTCACTCTCCCGCTCTCTGTCTCTTCCTTTCGCTACATTCAACTTTCGCTCACGATTAGCATGGAAGTTCAAACGGTAAACAATCTGCACAGCACCGCCGCTCTGTTGTCCTCACTGCAAGGTGGCAACAGCGCCAACAGTCCGAATGCCACGCCCAAGAAGAGCGCCGCCGCCAATGCCGGCGCTGGCTCGGCCAAGAATTCCTCAACAGAAGTCGCCATCCTCGAGCAGCTCAATAAGAAGCAGCAGCACCTCGACCAACAGGAACAGTTGCAAGCAGCCGAACACAGTCACGACTGCGACAGTCCGGCCAGCTCCAATTCGGAACTAGATAAGAATTTTCATGAGCTGCGCGACATGAATGGCTCGCTCGCTGGTAGTGGCAGCGTTGGCAAATCGAATGGCTCCCTTAGCGGTGCCTCTTCCACCAATTCGGCGCCTCCGGGCGCTAGTGGACGCAACGACGGTGGGGGAGATTGTATTGGCAACATCAGCGCAAATGAGCCAGCAACGAATGGCAACGCTTTGCCAGCGGGTGCTGCTGGTGCGGCACATTTGAAGAAACGCATCTCAAGCAGCCGAACGCCCACACGCAAGGCGCATCGCATCAAGTTCTATCGCAACGGCGATCGCTTCTATCCAGGCATTACCATACCCGTCTCCAATGAGCGCTATCGCTCCTTTGAAAGCCTGTACGAGGACCTGACACGTCTGCTCGAGGAGAACGTCAAGATACCAGGTGCTGTGCGCGCCATCTACAACATGGGCGGCAAAAAGGTGAGCGAACTTATGCTAAGTCTATTCGAAACTCTATTGACACTCTCTGTTCATAGATCACTGCTCTGGATGAACTTGAGGACGGCCAGAGCTACGTTTGTTCCTGCAATAATGAGAATTTCAAGAAAGTAGAATACAATACCAGTTCACAGCCGTTGGCCAATCTGACGCTGGCGAACAACAGTCGGTCCACGAATCATCGTTTGGCCAAGCTGCAACGCCCCGCTTCGCCGCTAAAGAATGGAGCCTTGATCAGCAGCACGGGCAGCAACAATGCGCCTGCGTCTAATGGTGGGGCAGGCGCCACAAATGGCAGTCCGCTGAACAGCTCCCGGTTCAATGAGCGGAATAGTATTGTCCATCCGAAAATTGTGACACTGATAAGGAACGGCACGAAGCCGCGTCGGATAATGCGGCTGCTCTTGAATAAGCGCAACAGTCCCAGCTTCGAGCATGTGCTGACCGCTATCACACAGGTAGTGCGACTAGATACTGGCTATGTGCGCAAGGTGTTCACCTTGTCGGGAGCATCGGTGGCACAGCTGGCCGATTTCTTCGGGCCGGAGGATGTGTTTTTCGCCTATGGCACGGAGCGTGTAAATACCGCCGAGGACTTTAAGCTGGAAGCAGATGAGCAGCGAGCTATCAATGCCATACGAAAGACACTGCGCACGGCAGGCACCACATGCAAGGGACCCAAGCCCAAGATGCCGGTCAAAAGCAAAAAGGTGTATCCGGCCGAGGCGGCAGGGACACGCGAAGCGGGCGAATCAGCCGCCACAGAGGAGGACGAGCAGGCGACGCTACTTAAGAATACGGGCGTTGAAATTGGCGATCTGCCCGTCACCATACGAGACAACTATACGCTGGGCAAGATGATCGGTGATGGCAACTTTGCCATTGTGCTAAAGATCAAAGATCGACAGACGGGCTTGCCCTACGCCCTCAAGATCATTGATAAAAGCAAGTGCAAGGGCAAAGAGCACTACATCGATGCCGAGGTGCGTGTCATGAAGAAGCTCGAGCATCCGCATATCATATCGCTCATCATGGATGTCGATCAGCAAACAAACATGTACCTGGTCCTCGAGTACGTCAGTGGTAAGTTCTAATTACATAAAAAAATATCACACAATACCCGAGAAACAACTGGAAATGGAACAACATTGACCTGAATGGGATTGCCAACTATATGTGAATGAATAGGAATGATCAGCTATTCCATATTCCAATTAGTATAAACCTGAATGGGATTAGATAATTCTTAAAAGTTCTTTATTGAAATTAATATTACTTTGCTTATTTTTCAGGTGGAGATCTATTCGACGCTATCACACAGGTCACACGCTTCTCGGAAAGCCAATCACGCATTATGATCCGACATTTAGGCTCAGCCATGTCCTATTTACATTCCATGAGCATTGTGCATAGGGATATAAAGCCGGAAAATCTTCTGGTAAGCTAACTAGTTTAAGCTGTCTGACAATCTTTACTATAATTATGGTTTTATTAAAGGTCGAACTAGACGAGTATGGCAATGTTGTGCAACTTAAACTGGCCGACTTTGGATTAGCCTGCGAGGTAACCGAGCCGCTGTTCGCTGTATGCGGCACGCCCACCTATGTGTCGCCCGAAATATTGCTGGAAGTGGGTTACGGTTTAAAGGTAACGAGATGAAATGTAGTTGGTCATAGAACATATTTGTAATGCTTGAATCTCCCTTGCTTAGATTGACGTTTGGGCTGCTGGCATCATATTGTATATATTGCTCTGCGGTTTTCCGCCTTTTGTTGCACCTGATAATCAGCAGGAACCGCTGTTTGATGCCATCATCTCGGGCGTATATGAATTCCCCGATCCCTACTGGTCGGACATCGGTGATGGTGTGCGCGATCTAATCGCCAATATGCTGCAGTCGGACCCGGATGTTCGCTTCACCAGCGAAGATATCCTCGATCATTATTGGACAATGGGCAATGAGGATAACGGTTGCAGCGGCGGTGTCGATGGTGGCGAGTTTAGTAGATGAATCATGGCCGTTTGGGGTGTGTAAGCAGTCTAGTTACACCTCAGCAGCCGTCATCTAGTAGTTTTTGTATTATGTAATTTAGCGCTATTATATAGGCCTTAATTTATTATTTATACATATTAACACATAAACTACACACATTGCCGTTAAGAAAGAATAGCAACATAAAACAACAACAGCTGCAACAGAAATAGAGATCATAATAATAACACTGTGACGGGCGCTGAATGATGTTGCGGACAGTTTTCTGAAATTCCAATTTCCAAACCGTTTACGGTTCGCTACTTTATTTTCTTTTAACGCATATATATTTTTTAAAGAAAGGTACATATACATACATACATACATATACATATATTTTATTGGTATTTTTAAAAGTGTTTTTAATTAGTATTTTAATTGATTATAAATTATGAATAAATGCATGTTGTGTATATTTTCATAAATTGTTAATTATGTTTTCGGATGCTTTTGCTTTGTTTTACGTATATGTATGTTTTGCTAGCACTTGTAATGTAAACGATAAACGCGATAAAAAACAAACAAAAAACAAATACATACAATAAATAAGCGCATTTATACAAACACCAATAAAACTTTAGAAATATATATACTGATATATAAAAAAAATTGTATTAACAATCAATTTCGAAACCAGTTGAACTTTAAAAGTTGGCGGGTGGCTAATTTATTATCGATAGTCATAAGTTGTTGCTTCAGGGTTTTTGTTTGCGTGTGGGTGTCAGCATTAGAATCGATATGTAGTATGCAGAGTTGCTTTGGAAGTGACTACTAAAGACCTACGGAATGGGTGAATGTCGAAAACAGCTGTTGAATGCATAATGCGGTCACACTTTAGCTTAAAGATGTCTTGATAAGGAAGCGAATCCCAGGGAAAAAGCTTAGAAAAATGGCCGATACTTTGCCAATTAACAGCGTAAGTGCTTCTTAAACATTTGGTTAGCAGTTTCAAAAGAGCAGATATTCCTTAGGATTCGGGCACTGATGAGGAGGAGGAGGTGGAACCAAAGTTCAAGTACCAGCGCATTGGCAATGATCTCAGGAATATACTCAACACGGATGTTGTTACCTGCAGTGCCGTCCATGCAAAGGTAATATTAGGCTAGTTTTCGAACTATTTAAACTGAATTTTTGATCGTATGGTAGTTTCTCATATTTGGCACATTTCGGGGGCGAGTCTACCTTCTGGATCACCAAGGCAACTCAGTGGACTCGAATCTGAGCAGCGGGGATCGCCACACACACTCCGTGGCTGTTAATCACATTGATGTGGACCCTAAGGGCGAATATGTCGCAACATGCTCCGACGACGGACGCGTGAGTCAACGATAAAACAATTTAAAAAATGAGGGTAGCATACAATGACGATTTACAATTACAGGTCAATATTACGGGCTTGTTCAGCTGCGAGAACAATCAAAACCTCAGTTATGGCAAGTTTATCAAAGCGGTTGCCATAGATCCTGAAGTCAAATCGGGTGTGCGACGATTTATAGTTGGTAAGATAAAGACCATAAAGATCTTTTCGCCGTACTGTTAAAAATGATTCTTATTGATATATTTCAGGCGACGACAAGCTCACGCTCTACGAGCGTAATTTGCTCAAGAAACTGAAGCCTAGCGAATTGTGCTCTGTTGAGGGAAGTGTTTTGGCTATTTGCTGGCAGGGTAACTTTGTTGCGTGGGCCAGTCATTTAGGCGTGCGCGTCTATGATCTTAGTGAGAAATGTTCACTAGGCCTTATGAAATGGGAGGTTCCGGCACAGGCTCGTCTCGAAAACTTTCGATGTCACCTGCGCTGGTCCAATGCCAACACGCTGCTCATTGGGTGGGTGGATACAATTCGTATTTGTGTGATACGCAAGCGTAACAGCATCGAAGCATCTTCTAGCAATCTGCCCGGTTTCGTTGTGGATCCAAGTGCGTGCAATAATTCTATAAAAATCTTCTATTTTTTTCATAAAATGTGTCATCTTTACTTTCAGTCTCCACATTTCAAACGACGTTCTACATTTGCGGACTGGCCCCGCTTGCTGCCAGCCAGCTGGTTGTGCTGGGTTACCGAAAAGATCGCAGTCCCAACTACAAAGCTCTGCGGCCAGTGCTGTGCGTCATTGAGTACAAAATGAATACCTCCGAAGAGGTGTGCACAGACAGCCTCACCTTACGCGGCTTTGAGGAGTATACGGTCAATGATTATAATCTAGGCTGCATCATTGAGGAGAATCGCTACTACATCGTAGCACCCAAAGATATTGTGGTGGCCAGCCTGATTGAAACAGACGACCGAGTGGAATGGCTCATCAAACACAAGTAAGTAAACAAATCGTTATGCTAGTTAGAAATGAATTAGCAATGTCTAGGCGTTGATGAGAGTGCTCGTAGTTAAGTAGTTTAAGTTCAAATAACTTTTGGGTATAGTCCAGTCAGCAATACACAGGCATATTTATATATTCATACACCTTACAGTATTACTTCCTTACATTATGGGAACTCAATTTCTTATTTTGACCTTTGATCCCTATGCATAAGATTCGATTTACTTGAAGTTTTATAATGCTGCTGCCACAGGAGCAATTTATTTATTGATTGCTGTATAAATATCTTAAACCATAAAACTTAATTTCTAACTTTGGCAAGGAAGGAAGTCAATTCGTTAGCAATTAAGCTACAATGCTGTCGCAGCACTTGTCCGCGGGCTTTGTCCAATCGTAATAGTAAGAAACAAATACTCGTTGACCGGGAATCTCGTGGGTGCACAGTTTGTTCGAGTAGAGATCATGCATTTGACGCTGATTGCGTTTGTGCAGCACCAGATGATAGGGACGACACTTGCTGGGCGTGTAGGCTGTGTCGAAGCGTGCATCATGCCAGCGGTAAACATGGCGCATTGGCGCTAACCAGGTGCCCAGTGAGGCATCTTCCGAGACATAGGTTGACAATAGATAGGAATTGTTGGCCACATGCTCGCATAGCTTACGGGAGAGTACATAACCGCCGCCTAAGGCATAGTTGATGTAATTTTTGCTTAAATAGTAATTGGATTCGCGCCAATGTCCTTTGGTCTTGATGGTAGCTCGTCCATTAAAATAACCCCAATAGAGCTCTGGTAGTGGCTCATGTCCATAGTCCTCTCTATTTCTTAAAAGCTTACGATCATAGGAGACGAGCTCGTTGAGCAGATTATCCAGCTTCACATAGGTGTCATCGTCCGCCTTAAGCAAGTAGGAGAATTCATAATGACGTGTCAGCGCGTCCAGCGACTGAATCAGCTTCTCTGTCAGATTCCTATAGTCGTCGTGCAAACGTGGTAGTAGCAACAAATCCTTATGCTGCTGCTGCTCATGCTCCAATTCGCCACGCAGCGTGGCGCTCATTTGCAGTGTTCCGATGGCAAACAGATGCTTCAGCTTGATATTGCGATGTACACGTGGTTGCTCCAACTGTGGCAGCTGCTGTTGCCAGTTTATGTACTGTTGTAGACGCTGCGCCTGCGTTGCAACCGTTTCCATTTGCAAATGTCCGCCTCCGCTATAGGTGGGCAGGTAGATATACTCTTCGGGGAAGTAGGTTTGCTTTAGTGGCTGTCCCAGACGCAGCCAAGTCTCACGCATGCCTTCCCGTTGCTCTGCATTGCCCGGGGCACTGAACACGAGTATCACTAAAAATAAATCCGGATGTGGCTCTAGTTTGGCAACTCCGCTGCGTTGTGCTGGGCATTTGTCGACGACGGTTAGTATGCGTGTAATAAAACTGCCAAAAAAGAACGCTGTTATAGCCGTAAAAAGCGTTACCAGGTTATTCATACGACGCATTTTGATAAAAATATGTAAATAAAAATTTCCAATTAGCCGACACAACTGTAAAACTTATCGCGAATTTAACAGCTGAGCGCGATACTTATCGATGGGCTATCGATACTTGAAGGAGACACTGTGGTATCAGCGAACAGTGGTTAATTAATCGATACTTTCGAAGGCTTCGCGGACAATAGTTATATTTTAGGATAACAATGTGGAAATATTACAAAATATAATTTAAAAATAATGTGAATTGTTTTTTCTAATATGTATTTATCGAGTCAACATATTCATTTGTTTTTGCAGTAAATTCGAAGAAGCCATGGAGATATGCACACATGGAGGCACTCTGCCAATGCTTTCTGTAGCTAGGTAAGGAATTGACAAAAGGAAATAAAATAAAATAATTATTTTATCTGATGATTTTTACAGACTATATATAAACCATTTGCTGACCATGAAACAGTATGAAGATGCGGCCAAGCTCTGTCTTCGAGTGCTAGGCAACAATAAAGCTCTATGGGAAGAAGAGGTTTTCAAGTTTGTCAAGTGTCAGCAATTGCGTTGCGTGAGCGCGTATCTACCCACCTCGGATGATTGTAAGCTAGATCCCCATGTCTACGAAATGGTACTTTATGAGTTCCTCAAGTTTGATGTGCGTGGCTTTTTAAATCTGATCAAGGAGTGGCCGCCAAAGCTGTACGATGGCTTGGCTGTCATAAATGCCATACACGATCATTTTCGCAAACAGAATGCGAACGAGCTGCTCGAGTCGTTGGCGTTGCTCTACTCCTATCAAGGCGACTATGAAAGCGCTCTGCGCATGTACTTGAAGTAAGCCAAGGCTCACATCACCGAATACTACGTTCTAACTACCTCGACTTTCACAGATTGCAAAACAAGGATGTATTTGAGCTGATACGTCGCTTTGAGCTGTACGATGTTATCTCTAAACTAATCATTCCACTTATACAACTGGATCGGGAACGTGCCTTTAAAATATTATTGGATAAGAATAAAATAAAACCAGAAGTGGTTGTGCATCAATTGGAACAAAATCAGGAATATCTTTACTTGGTTAGTAAACGACACAAAGCTGTGTCAATCTATTCAAAGCTAAACTATACTTTCTTTCAGTACCTGGATGCGCTGGACAAGATTAGCAGTCAGGGTACATTCCACCAGAGACTAGTTGCCTTGTATGCCAAATATGATCGAAGCAAGCTGTTGCCCTTTCTACGCCGTTCTAATGACTATGTCATACAAGAGGCGCTGGCGATATGCAAACGTGAAGAGTTTCATCCAGAAATGGTCTACTTGCTCGGTCGCATGGGCAGTATTGTGGAGGCACTCAACATAATCATCCACAGCGTATGTATATATATCTAAGACTTACACAATTTTGTTTAATCAATTTTTTTTTACAGATAAAAGACATTGAGATGGCCATTGAGTTTTGCAAGGAGCACAACGATGAAGATCTTTGGAATATTCTCATTGAGGAGTCCACAAAACAGCCTGAAATAGTAACCAAAGTCCTGGATGGGATAGTTGGTAAGTTTTGCCATTGTCTTTTACTATATTCAATTAACGAAGCTATTAATCGTGCTTTGTAGATTATGTGAATCCCGTGTTAGTAGTCAACAAGATCAAACTTGGCCAGACAATACCGAATCTTCATAAATCTGTCGTTAAAATGCTGTGGCACTACAATATTGAGGAGGAAGTACACACAATTGCACATCAAATCCAATTGACCGACTACTTTGATACACACGCCGAAGTGGTGGCCATGCAGCGACGCGGGCGTCAGGTGTCTTATGATAAAGTGTGTCCCAAATGCAATCGTCCAGTGATCATTAAAGACACTGCACCTCCCAACGGCCTAACCATATTTAACTGTGGCCACATTTACCACAACAACTGCGTGATCGACAATCGTTGCGACCAATGCTTGGACTGGGATAGCATATTAGAGGACGACGACTAATAATCATTGAAAAACACAAACTACTGTGAATGGAAAGTCTGAAACGGCTAGGACCACGTATTATGCGACATCCAGCAACAACATTATGTATCGTTTCCATGCAATGTGTAAATTTTGATTGATAGCTTTAAGCTTTGCTTTTATGTATATGTTTATTTATTTATTGATTTAATACAAAATAAAGTCCAGTAAACGAGAATTTAGATTGTAAGCTCTATAGCAATATTGTTATTGTCTCACGTGTTTTGCGGCTTATAAATGCCTTTATAACATGGACTATATCCATGTATTTTGGTGGATCGATAGCCTAGCCCATAGCTATCGTTTCGCATCATTCTGTTGATTAAATTCCGAAATCTGTTGCTTTTTAAGGACTGTCCCCAAAGGAAGGATAACGGGGACAAAGTGCATGCTATTCAGCAGTAGAGAAACCCCCATATCAATATAATGATGGGAAAAAGGTAGGAGTAGAAAGAATTTAAAAAATAAAATTGTTATATATACACATATATTAAGAATGCTTTCCTGGCGTTCACCTACATCACTTCTCCGCGCCATCATTTATTTCACACCTATTGAAAGTCGTTTAGCGAACTCAAGCAAATAGTGAGAAATAAAGACAATCCAGTTAAAGTAAATTGCTTTTAATGGCATTTTTAACTTCAGTAGTGGCGCAAAAGCCACTCTCATAGAGCGAATATAAAAATACATCTAATATGCACCCCCTTAGCGTGGACACCCTCGCAAGGATATAAATAAAAACGGTCTTGTATAATAGAAACTTACAATTTATGCATGACATATTGGCAATTGTTTTTTTATTACAACTGTTTGTGTTTATTTCTTCTTCTACCCCCAATACACACACTCCAAACGGTAGTCAAATGCACTTAGGCCTCAGTCTCGGACTGAAGCTTAGCCACATAGGCGGCCTTGTGGGCGGCGACCTTGGTCTTGCGTTCTTCATTCGTCAGTTTCTTGGCGTTCCACCTCTTCTTAACTGGAGCCGACTTCTTGGCGACCTTCTTCGGGGTAGGATCGTTGCGAATGGACTGATGGGCCTTCTTGTAGATATCCTCAATCTGCCAACAAATAAATTAAATATGTTAAAAATAGGTCATTCAATAATTGAATATATCAGTATATTGTTTTACATATAGGAATGTGCAACTGCAAACAGAAAATTCAACCCATAGAGAGGGATGAGCTACGAACAAGCGTTGCTAAATTTACTGTGGTCCATTATTGGCACGGCTAGTGTTGAAGGTTACAAAACACAGCAGTAATTTTGAAAATGGACGTCAATGGCTTATATTAAATACATTTCATTTAGGAATGTGCAACTGCAAACAGAAAATTCAACCCATACAGAGGGATGAGCTACGAACAAGCGTTGCTAAATTTACTGTGGTCCATTATTGGCACGGCTAGTGTTGATGGTTACAAAACACAGCAGTAATTTTGAAAATGGACGTCAATGGCTTATATTAAATACATTTCATTTAGGAATGTGCAACTGCAAACAGAAAATTCAACCCATAGAGAGGGATGAGCTACGAACAAGCGTTGCTAAATTTCCTGTGGTCCATTATTGGCACGGCTAGCGTCGATGGTTACAAAACACAGCAGTAATTTTGAGAATGGACGTCTAGTAATTGCTCGTTTCAAATACATTTTACTTACGTTATCAGCGCGGATGCCCAACTTGATGTAACGGCTGAACTGACGCTTGAAAGCCTCCTCATCCTCCTCCTCCAGGGTGCGCATATAATCGGCCACATGTTGACCAAAGATATGGGCACGGTGCACATCAGCGTTGAAGCTCTTGGTCTCGCCAGAGTAGCCTGGGAAACGCTTCACCGAATGGGGGATGTTCAAACCACCATCGACAGCACCCTTCATGGCGCCGAACACACGGGCACCGGTGGTTGTGCGAGCCAAACCTACATCCAAGTAGCAACGGAATGCTCCTGGTCCCTCATCAACGGGTTCAACGTTGTATTCCTCACCAGTGACCTCGGTGCAACCAGCATATAGAGTGTCCAAGCCCAATTTGTTGAGCAGACGGCGTGCAACGAGTAGGCCAGTGCAGTAGGCAGCAGCATAGTTGGTCAAACCCACCTGCAATTATTGTTGTAAACATTAGATTGCATGTTACACTACATTATACAAATTTCAACTAATTTACCTGGATACCATAGTTGGGCAGCTCGTGCGAGTAAGCCGAGCACACAACACGATCACCCTCAATGCGAGCATAGGCGATTTGGGCGGTGATGTCCTTGTTGGACAGACGCACAATCAAACGGTACTTGGGAGTGTTGTACTTGTTCTTGTCCTGGAAAGTCAGACGCTTTCTGGCATAGTAATCAGTTTTGCCTTCACGACGCCTGCGGAATTTAACCTGGTAGCGCTTGAAGTACTGCTTGTTCTTGACTACCTTGACGAAACCCTGTAAACCACACACAACACAAATTAATATTGGTTATTGGTCTTGGCATGAAATCAACAATTTTAATCTCTCAATTAAAGCTGCATCAATGGCTGCTTTTGTATTATTTGATATATTTTCACTTGCCAACACTTTAATTGAGACTTTGGTTGCGTTATTTAATTGATTGTGCTCACCATTTTTCACTTTTTAATGAAAATCAAACACCGACGCAAAATACGCGATGTCTTCACACGTAGGTGAAAAAGAAAAAGGAAGAAGCTGACAGGCCGCTCAGACGCAGGGTCGTATTTTGGAGCGTTGACGTTTCACTCGCAGCTAACTTTGCGTTCGTCTAGAAACTGCGCCAGATGGCGCTTTGCTATTAATAATTTATATGCGCGCGAAGTAAATAATTTAAAAGTCTGGTGAATTTAAAAAACTGTATTACGTAGTGTATTATATTTCAATAACAGTGACTCTAAATGTATTTGGGCATTCGCTTCACATTCTTCACCAGCATATTGAGTGCCATATAATCGATCAATTTCATGTTGAAATTTCTGAAAAAAATTTATTTATTAAGTGAATGGGTAAATAGTATTTTAAGTCCACATTATATTTACCAAAACTTTTAAGTACGCTGCTTCGTGGGGCGCTGAAGGATCATAGGCTGGATCCACATTTAAAAATAAGTGCTGCTTGATATGATATAGTGCCGTAACATCTTCACTTTGTATAGTTAAAACAGTTATGTGATCTTCTAGGCTGCTAGAAATCCTTAATTTACTATCTATAAAATATAAATCTAGCATATTATTTTCAATTTTGCCACTGGCATTACAAATATCAGCAATTTGTGCCAAGCTTAAGCAACCAGGCGACGTCATCTTTTGTTCAACTATAGGCTTCGACCTCTTTGTATTTGGTTTAGGCAAAATATCTAACAATTGCAATTTGTTATACAGATTCAGGGAACAAAGTTGTCCACTGAATAGCGCGCTATATGTATCGCTGTACTCCTGCACTCGACATGGCAGCAGAACTGCGCTTAATTGTGTTTGTAGCTCCAGAAATGCAACTAGTTTAATCGTAAATTCAGGCAATCGCTCTTTAAAAGCTTTCTGTAATGGTATTATAATTCTACATTTGCGACTCAAAAGCAAGTCCGTGGGCACACGATGTACATGGGCATCGTCTCCATGATAAACGAGCAATTGCCAGTGACTGCTGTAAAGCAACTTTTGACTGTCGTTGAACGATAATTTTAATATGGCATAAATGCCACTGCTATCAAGTTTCGCCTGTCTGGCTGTATGCAACAGCAGAGCATTAGCTCCAAAGACTGGTAGCTGTCTGCGAAACTCTAGCGTTGCCTCTAAGCTGCCTTCAAAGCTGGCTTCGTTGCGTGCAACAGCCACCAGTTGCTGCTTTTCATATTCACGCTGTATTGCTGTCATTAGTTCATTGGGCTGCTTTTCGTATTTCTGCAGAACTTGTGCATTGCTACGTAGTTGTTCCATGGCGGCAGGTGTTAGATCGTTATGAACACCTTCATCTTTATCTTCATCTTCGTCTGATAGTTGCTGCATACTAAATGCGATCCGGTAGAAAATATTATTGTCGCTGAGGCACACGAGCTGCTCAATGTGCTGCACCCAAGCACAGGCTTGCATGCCGGGCACCGACTTCACACAGCGCTGTATCTGGCAATCATCTAGTTGAGCGTCATATTGGAATCTCAAACGTACCAGCTGCTCTCCATCTGTGTAGTAGAAGTCGCCGTTGTCGCTGCTAGCATCAAAGTCCAACCATTCACTTCCAGTATAATGCATCTGCCGCTGTTTTATGCCCAGCAATTGGGACATGTACCAGATGTCCACAGTGCCACAGCTCAGGTAAACTAAGCATAAATTTTGTGCGGGCAGCAAACGCATAAAATTAACAGACGTTGTATATATGCATATTAGCTCAATGTTGTATGCCTGTTCCGTATCCACATCTTCATCTGCATCCGCTTCCTGTGGCGTTAGAGCAAATATGTGACCCGCAATGCTGAATATGTGTATTTGCTTATTCGCAATTGCCGAAGCACCAAACAAGCACTGCATGAACTTCTCATGCTCTCGTGTAACGGTGATCGTTGACAAGGTATAGCAATCATTCTGCCAATCGCATTGGAATATGTTTTGTTCGTCATATGTGATGTCGTAGCTGTACTGCAGAGTGCTTTCTCCCTTGCCCAAGCTGGGCAAGTCCACATAAACCTGCAGGAGCAACTTTTGAGTAGCATCATCGTAGCGTACCACGCTGAATCCTTCATGCGTGCGCGCAAAAGCACGCACCCCGCTCAGCCAGGATATGAGATGCAGTGATTTAATGGAACCAAAGCAATGAACTCGACCGTCCGACATTAGCAACAGCGTGTTGTATTCTAGCATGTGGATGCTGCGTAGATGACTGCCCTTTGGCAGTGGAATGCGAACCTTTGTCATTTCCATTCTATTTGTTTTCTTCGATTTCTTAAAGCGAAAATTCAGTAGATAATATTCATTCCAAGTGACGAAGACAGATTTTGTCTTGTTGTTGCTGGATGATGAGTGGCATATCAGACCACATGGCTGGAACAATGTATCATCTTCAATGGACCAAAGTACATCATCGTCATTTTCCACATTAGCAGATTCGATATCTTCGTCTATATCCATGATTTGTTTGTTAAGGTGAATAATATTCAAATGTAAAGTACCACAACAATAATGAGACGCACAGTGTGACCAACGCAATAAAAACAACAGGTTTTAAATGGTATCTTACATTACATTCAATATTGTCGAATGTTCGCATTTGTTGGAGCGGTACATCATTTATTCTTTATAAACATGATTTCGTAATCTAATATTATGAAGCATTTAAAGACTTTCTCGGCGCCTATCAAAAGTTTTGTACGACTGATACAACAGTTGAATCCTTCAATATATTATAAAGGTATTTATGTCTTACATATTAGCTGCCCTATTGGTAACTTTTACCCATCACTATTTGATAAGTTCTTCAACGTAACGACTTGGACATTTTTAAAAGTGAAGCAGGTTGAGTTTTTTAGGTAGCTGGAAAAGAATCTAGCAGCAATGGCTTTATTGATGCGTTTGTGGCGGCGCAGCCATTCAACCAAACTTAAGGATCATCAGGCGGCACTGATGGCGCGCAGTTTACCTAAGCGGGAAGCACTGCCCGGCGTTAACAACATAATTGTGATAGCATCTGGAAAGGGCGGTGTAGGCAAAAGCACTGTGGCAGGTAACTGCTTAATATTTAAAATAACAATAATTTATTCAATGGAATAAATATATTGTAGCAAATTTCGCTTGCAGTTTGGCCAAGCTAGGAGCGAGAGTTGGACTGTTGGACGGTGATATTTTTGGACCCAGCATTCCACTGATGATGAACCTCCACAGCGAGCCTCGTGTCAATGACAAGAACATAATGATACCGCCACAGAACTACAATGTGAAGTGTCTTTCTATGGGCATGCTTACTCCACCTGATGGTGCGATTATATGGCGCGGCCCGCTGGTCATGTCAGCCATACAGCGTCTACTCAAGGGTGCCGATTGGAGTCCATTGGATGTGCTGGTCATAGACACTCCGCCCGGCACTGGAGATGTGCATCTGTCATTAACACAACACACCCCCATCACTGGTGTCCTGTTAGTCAGCACTCCGCACAAGGCAGCCATCGATGTAACAATTCGTGGCGCTGAAATGTACCACAAACTAAAAGTACCTATCTTTGGCTTGGTCGAAAATATGCGTTACTCCATATGTGACAACTGCAATCATCGTATCGAGTTTTTCAAGCAACTAACAGGAACATTACACCAGAAGCTGCCAGAGACGCTCATCTCATTGCCACTAGACTCACATATAGCTGAATGTGGTGAATCGGGCACACCTGTTGTTATAAAGCATCCAGACTCTGAACACGCAAAGCTCTTCCATAAGCTTGCGCTTCAGATTTGGAGTACATTGCAAGAAAGAGAAGACACTAATGAAACAGCTAAAGATTCGAAAATAAAGTAATATTGGAATATTGACTGCATTCTGAGTGTCTTGCAGCATGGCGAGAAGGAGGATAATAGCCGATCTTCATTAGTTATACAACAGGTTTAAAACTATTACAGCTATACAACATATTCTCTAACTTTGGCATATACATATAGACATATAGAACAAGTTTTGTTTATTTGTGCTTCTTCAGTTTCTTCATTTTCTTCATGGCCTTGCGGCGGGCGTACATATCTGTCCGCTTTATCACCTCCTTATACTTTCGTTTATTAAAGCTTTGGAAGGCCTCATCCGCTAACAGTTCATCCACCAGTGACTTCTTGGTCTTGCGTGTATGTTTTTCATCATAATGATCCAGAGGCGAGTGCAGGACTGTGCCGACTTGGAAGTACTTCGGCAGCACTTTAAGGTCATTCTTTTTGTAGAAGTGTTTGGGATCCAGCACTGAACGCATTTGTATGATCTTCAGTTCATTGCGCATCTCATCTGTAACTTCTGTTGCTGGCAAATCAAACCAGCCGCTGCCCTTCGTCTTAGCGCGCTCCGCCTGTAGTTAAAAGATTGGGTTTTAGTACAGGAAAAAACAATTTGATGCATTTATTGCTAGGGTACAGCACTCAGATTACTAAAGACGTCATCAATGTGGCAACAGCGTCTGCCTCGGCCACTGCTGTGTTTTGGGCGACAATGGCACTATGTTTCATTCCTTATAAAAAGTTGTGCGCCCACGCCTAAATCATTTGTCTTGACTCGATGACAAACAACAGTCTAGCGTTAAATGGCATTGCTATTCCGTCGGCCTTACAGCAACCGCCACATACTCCGAGACGGCCGCTAAGATTACAACGGACAAAACTGTGTGCTATAGTCTGTGAGTGAGTCTCTGGTAACAACAGTGGCCTCAAGCAGCAGACGTGTGCGCTTGCCACGCCCATTGGCGCAGCTTCGGTTGTCGAATATGTCATCATAGTTGCTCTGCCTGTAATCATTCTCTTAATATTTTTACTGTTACTTACTCTATTAAGTATAGGCAGCTTGCGTCTGGAAACTGTGGGTAATGCTTTCTTCTGTTCGATGCCATTTAATTGCTTCGTGCTTTGCATATCTTTTTCGAGATTTGTTTTTCGCACTTTTATGTCCTCGCTCGTTTCGCTGTTGATTTCTGTGACCCGTTGACGTTTTTGTAACTTATGTGTGCCTGCATTTTGTACAGCCTCGTTCACTTTCTCAGTTACTTCATCCAGTTGAAGGGCCACTTTGGATGACACTCGGTTGGTAGTTTCCAGTGTGGCAGCAACAACTTTGCTAACATCTTTGCCGTTTAACTTGAGGCCAAACAATTCCACTTCACCAACATCCTGCTCATCTTCCTCCTCGCTATCCTCCTTATCAACAGCCAGTTGCCGACCCTTCGAGAACCCATTATACAATGCTGAGGAATGCTGTATTCCTTCTCCACTGAATAATTGCTGATCGCCAGCAGTGTCCAGCATAAACAGCGACGCCATGCTTAAAGTTTCTATCGCAAACAAAAATTAAGCGCAAAACATGCGGCGTCGACTAGTAATGTCGCCGTTCGTTGTGACTGGTAAAATATGCCATCTGCAAATATAAAAACAAAACTTGGCCACACTGCAATTGTCCCACACGTGTTTTGATTTTTGCTGCGAGCATACGTTAGCAAAATAGTTTCGACAAGCAGTGAAATACCTTAATATAATGCCAGTTTTCTTAAATACATACCTTATAGAGTATTTTCGTTGTTATTTAACTTGTAAAACGTAGAAAGATAGGCAATACTCGACAAACAAGCTCTGCTAGTTATAACTAGTTGATTTAGGCTTTGTCGGACGCGCTATTGCTTATTTTTGGGAAATAATATTTACCTAATTCGAAAACAGTAGTTTTTTGTGCAATGTCTGTCTACAGCAGTAAAACGACCAACACTTCCATACTGAAGCCCTTCTCCAGCGCAGATCGTGAGCGCATCAAAACAGCAGCCCTCAACAAAGTGCGCTTCATAACGCCCAAGGAGAAGGGCATTGTTGAATCGGTGCGTGTGGCATTAGAGGAAAAGAATTTTCATTTGATACAGGAGTTTACATATTTTCTTCGAGAAGCTGACCTGAGTGTAAGTGAAATGAAATATTGCATAACTTGGTTTACTTATGCTTTTATTTATAGGATGAGGAAGTTGTGCAGATTATGAAAGATGCTCGTAAAATTGTGCACAGCTTGACTCCGGTCTTTGCCAACCTTGTTGAGGGTCTGCTGTCGCTCAACTGGAAGAAGTATAGCCCGGAGGCCATTCAAGCCTACACAGAATTTAGCATCGATGTTATGATTGCCCACAGTTCATATATACATATTGGCATAGCCAAATTAGTTTTAAATTGGATACCCAATGATCACGAGTCCGCGGAATGGTTAAATGGGTGCCCATCGGAGCGCGTGAAGGCTGAATTAGAAACTGTGCACAATTTACTCAATCGTATTCTAACTGCTGTACCTATGGCTTTTGATGTGGTCATCGATACGGTTGCAACAAAGTTTCCATACTTTAAAAAACCAGCTCATGTCACAGCTGGCTATTTGCATAATGTGTTGTGGTTGATGGATTACAAGCCGGTGTTCGAAGAGCTATTGCTGCAGCTGGTTCTGCAAAAGTAAGCCATTTGTGATGATTTATTTGGAAGGCATTTGATTTATTTATTTTCTTGTCAGGTTGCTCATACTGGACGTAAATGCGCCACGTGATGAAATTGAAGCACTCAAAGAGGAAACGGATGACGAAGATGACAAGATGGAAGATGAAGCTATATTTCAAATGGACGATGTTAGCGCTCCGCCTAAGCCGCCACAATCATTAGAACATCCCGTTGGTCAAATGCTGGACATATGCCTAATGAAGCTTTTTAAGTTCCTGGACGATAAATGCCGTCCGCAACCTGGTTGCACCGATGATCAGCGTGTTGCCAAAAGTAGATTTTTCAAGACGCTTGTTCACATATTCGATGAAGTCTTACTACCCAGCCACAACACTCATCACGTTCAGTTCGTCATCTTTTATGCATGCAGCATTCGTCCAGCGTACACAGAGATCTTTCTCAGTGCCCTGTGGCAAAAAGTACAGAATCCAAATGTATCCTCAATCATTCGCCATGCAGCTGTTAGCTATATCGCCAGTTTTCTGGCACGTGCCAAATTTGTACCTCTGAGGTAAGTCCTTTGTTCTCTTGGTTACGAAAATATACTAAATGCTATTAATTTTAGCACCATCACCTACTATCTCAAGGAGCTGAGCAACTGGGCAAACACCTACATCAATGATTCGGATGAATTTAGCAGCAAAAACTGTTCATTAAAAGCTAACATGGTTTTCTTCTCCGTTTGCCAAGCCATGTTTTATTTAATCGCTTTTCGTGCGCGGGATTTGACGATTAATCACAAGAGTAAGTAATTGTATACTGGTTTACTTGTTTATATTAACTGAGATTTTGTTGTCCAGATTTGAGTTTGCTGAATTCACTGCAGTTGTCTCGGTTGGCAATGTGTCATTTTAATCCATTGCGCTACTGTCTGCCGCCGGTGGCAACTGCATTTGCGGGTGTTACACGTACCCACCAATTAGCATATTGTCACACTGTACTGGAGCGCAATGCACGTCGCAAGCTGGCTACCATCTATGGCCATGACAAGCTGATGCCAGAGGAAACTCTTGAAACTTTCTTTCCCTTTGATCCATACATTCTTCCACTGTAAGTTTCCCAATCAATTGTCATATGAATTCGACTATTATTCTGATTAATTTCGCAGGTCCAATAAGTACATAGAACCAAGTTATCTGGTCTATAGGGTACATGAGCTAGAAGAGTCGGCGGAGAGTGTTGCAGTCGAGACTATGCGTCGCAAGCGTGGCGATTCCGAAATGATTGAGGACGACGAGTTTATACTGGCGGATAAGCGGCAAAAGCTCAGCGAACTGTCCAAAAGCCAACAGTTTGATAAACAGTTTTACTATGGTGCTTCACCTGGGTTTAACCAATAAGAAGTGGGGGACATAGATGTAATAGTAATTCGTATTTATAAAATATAGACTTTTATATATTATTGAAACTTGATCAAAGAATAAGTGCATTGGACGATGCGCTCTTGTGCCGTTCAGCTCGCATATGCTCCAATCTGTGTCCCGACGTACGAAAGGATTCTCCACAAATTTCGCATTTGAAGGGTCGTTCTCCAGTGTGCAAACGCAAATGCAACTGCAGCGAAGTCTTTGAGGCATAACTCTTGCCGCACACCTGACAATTAACGCTGCTCCGCTGTGGCTGATGCGTCTCTAGATGTCTGGCCAGTGTGGATTTTAAGGTAAAACGTCTTCGACATACGTGACAAATGTGTAGCTTAAGCTTGGAGTGTGTTAGCAAATGTCGTGCAAGGTCGTTGGGTCTCTTGAAGTGCTTGCCACATTGCAGGCAACTATGTTTCATCTGCTTTGTATCTATCAAACGTCTTAAATGCAACAACATGTGTGTGCGGCAATTATATTTGCGTTTGAAATTCTTTTCACAGTAGATGCATTTGAAGCTGCGATGTGATAGCACTGGCTGTGGCAATAGTTCCATTAGTTTCGTTTTTAGAGAGTGTGTTTCCAGTTTCGTATGTGCATCACAGGCAGATTTCGTTTTGAACGTACGACTACAGTGCTCACAGCTATAAACCGTGTTGGGATGTTCCTCACCCAAGTGCTTGTGCAGCTCAGTCTTGGATCTAAAGCTGGCGATACATTCAGTACATGCATGCTTTTTCACAGCAGCATGTAGGCGTTTGTGGTGCTCATTTAGCTTGCTTTGGATAGCAAACCGCTTAAAACAGATCCCGCATAGATAGGGCGTCTCTTTGGTGTGTGAGCGACGATGCCTGGTGAACACAGTTGCTTATTTCTGTGCGATTCTTAATTAAAAATCTTACCTTATCAGATCGTAACTCTTGCTAAATTCCTTAGCGCAATATTCACACACATAGTAGCATCTATTGGTGTTCTGTCGTAGTATGCGCTGTGTGATAATTACGCGGACTTCACCAGCTGGATTAAGATTGTCTCTTAGTTCTACCACATCACAAGACGTTTTTTCCTCTAGAGTACCTTGTGTAGCAAACGAAGCAGCAGCAGCTAAATTGTGGTTTACAATTGCATTATCTTTAATCGTAGGGCTGCCTTGTAACAGCTTTAGGGCTGCTAGCGCATGTTGAGCTACGTCGGATTCGTCGCACTTTTTTGCCACATCGTGTTTGATACGTATATGACGCTGCAGTGAACTTTTTTGAGAGAAACGACTGCAGCAGCTTTCGCACTGCAACAAATGTATGCATATTTAAGCATAAACCACCATGGAAGCCCTTTAAGCATATGGAAAACTTACTGGAAACGCCTTTTCCGCGCTGTGCACGACCAGATGACGACGGAGTAAAGCAGGCTTGGAAAAGCACTTGCCGCATATGTCACAAGCATTCGAACTTTTAAAATTTTCAACATTTTTCATTTTTTCTTTCACAATTTTTTTTACTTTGCAAATACAAGCGCCTATACAAATGGAAAGAAGAAGAATGTCGATCACAGCTGTTTCTGCCTATTTCGATAGCAACCAATTATTCCTGCAATTTAATTTACCCCGCATTGTACGAAAAAAAAAACATTTAACTGATTGTTTACGGCAATCATATAGAAAATCAATTCTATTTAAAACTTAGTTTAGAATTAACCAATCTACACAGTTACAAATCGTAAACAAACACATCTCTCTCCTTGGGTTCAGCTTAGGCAACGAATTCATATGGAATTGGCGCCAGGGCGATGGGTTCTTCCAATTTCTTGACGAAATGCGCCTTCTTTGGCTGCTCGGGCTGACGCTTGAGGTTCACCCATTTGCCGTCCTTCTTGGCAGCCTTGAGCAGACGCTCATTCTCCTTGACGCGACGCAGGAAATCCTCACGGCACTTGGAGTGATGCACATGCTCAATGCGAACATTAATGCGCTTGGCTAGAACCTTGCCGCGCACACGTTTGTTTACAATGACACCAACAGCGTGTTGTGTGACGTTGAAGATGCGGCCAGTCTTGCCATGGTAGGCCTTGTAGGGCATACCCTTCTGAACGGCACCATGTCCCTTAATGTCAACGATGTCACCGTTCTTGAAGACGCGCATGTATGTGGACAGAGGAATGACACCATGCTTGCGGAATGGGCGAGAGAACATGTCTCTGGTGCCGCGACGATAACCCTTTGAGTTGGTCATTTTGTTGGCTGTGGTTCCCTGCAATAAACAAACACTTTTAGCAACATTTCACAGCATGTACATGTGCACGGCACACGCGAATACGTTTTAACGCGCGTTTCAACTGCATTTTATTGAATTTTAATGCAATTTGTACAAAATATTGGCTAACCTTTTACGTATCGACGTCCACGCGGTCGTGAAGTTGGGGAAAGAAAGAAAGATGGCTACCCGTTTGGCGTTGCCACACTCATTATGATTTGACGTTTTCGCAGGGCTGTCAGTGTTTAAAACAAGCAGTGTAACCCTGACACAGTTAGTTTTTCGATATATTATGAATTTTTCCCATTCGTAGAGAATCGTGTTTTTCGTGCTCCCACAAATCTAATTTGAATTGAAACAAGCGCCAATTAAGTATTTCATTTTATTAAGTTAAAAAAGTTTTACAAATTCAACAGAAAACTAATTAATATTACATTTTTGCTTAAGTTTGAGCACTTTGGTACACACACACATAATAGTAAATGTCATTTTAATATCTCGTTACATATAATTTATATTTTAACTATCATATATATAAATGTGTTACATATGCATATATATGTTTATATAACTTGTCCGTTTGTGTTCACTAGTATTAATTTCTTCACAAAAATTCTAAGAATGTGGCGTCATTTCATTTTGTAATTATTACATGATTGGAATATCAAAGCACAAACTATTAGTAAGTTATCTGCGGGCATTTTTGTCAAATATATAGTAGGATATATATGTAAGTATATATAATATGTATATTTAGCTTATGCTTATGCTGATGCATGTGGTACGTATATATAATAAATATTGTAAATAATTTCATAAATATATATGTAACCCATATAAGCATGTGTATACCAATATATATAAACAGTACATACATTTTGACTTGCACACGTCGATGTAAACATAAAATTTAACATTAAGTGTTGCCTTTATATTAAATAATAATTAGTTTAGTAGGTTATACTTGTTTCGTTTCGTTTCGTTTGGTTGCTTGGTTGATTGGTTTGCTTTTTTCATCCATTTTCCTTATTTTATTTCCTTTGAGTTATGTTATATTATATTATATATATCTATATATATATATGTATTTGTGTGTATATTATTGGCTGTTGTTTTTTTGGATTTCACAAATCCCACTACAAAAGCAGTCTCTCAAACATCTCAATGCAGTGACCAAGTTTCACGGTCCATTTTTCGTTCGTTGTCCAATATCCGTTGCCATTATGTTAATGCCTAAGCGCCATCCTTTTTGTTGTGCCCATTCTCCAGCGGCCTCTTTGGCACACTGGCACTGTTGCAGTTGTTGTCATCCTTCGGCAGTATTGGCTGTTGCTGCTGCAGCTTCTGGTCCAGGCGTGTTTTGTACGTGTACAATGACTGCAGCGGTACATGGAGCAGCTCCACGATCTCAGTGAAATTGATCTCTAAAAGATATGCGTATTAAATCAGAAAATACATATGCGACTATACGAAAATAAGTTCATACCATTCTCGGCTGTTATGTAACCATGTCGTATTAAGAAATCGATAACCACGGGCGCCGATGTTGTCTTAAAATCCGGCGTGAATACACGCTCCACACACTCGTTGGCCGGAAGCAGCTCGAATGCCTGCACCTCGCCATCGGCGTTCTGTGGCACAAAGCCCACCGGCAGCTCCAAATCAAACACATATTCAGTATTGGGGAACAGACCTTGATCGCTCTCAAAAAAGAACGAGACACAGCCGGCTGAAACCAGATCCTTGACGAGATTGCTTGGAATGGATGCCTCCTCGGCGGCCTCCTTAATAGCCGTCTCCATAATGCCATAGCCAACGGATAGACCGCCCCCCACCATATTGTCCCATTTGCCAGGCCAGGTTTCTTTAGTGTTGGAGCGCTGCTGCAGCCAAATGCACAAACCGTGCTCTGGATGCCTCACATAGCCATTGATGTCTACACCGTATTTGCGTACGCCAAACAGCGGCGTCGCCGCTCGCTCCATCTTAAGCAGCGCCTTGTGCTCGAACTTCACCTCGAAGCATTCATCCCGCCAGCCTTGCAAGGCCGAGAACAAACCATCGCTGCGCAGATCACGTAATACTTTCTCCAGGTGCGCGGTACGTTCGTTATAATCCCGGAACGCCGGATTCAACTCCACCAGACCCTGCCGAATGTAATCATATGCACATATATGTATTCACACTTAAGATTGAATTGTGGCTATTTTTGGTTAATATTCACCTGCTTAGTATATTGACAGTCACGTATGCAGAACACTTCAGGAAACTTGAGCAGCTGCTTGAAGACATCCGCTTTAATTAGACCAACTTGTTGTCCCCCAACCAGAAATGGACGTATGTCATCCTTATGAAAACCTGTGACACAATTAACGTTAATTAGTCAAAGAACAAAATGCAATTGATATGGCACTGACGTGGATAGCAGCCTAATTGTATTGTGGCCAACAAAGAAATACCTGAGATTCTATTTGTAATTTAATTTAAATATACCCTGTAACTAATGATATTTCATATGAAATGACTGACAGTAAGAGTAAAGTTATCTGTAAGCTGAAAAAGTATCTGTAAGATACAAAAGTGTGTAGGACACTAAGCTATCTGTAAGATACTGAGGTCGCTGTAAGATACTGCCATCTCTGTAAGATACTCAGGTATCTGTAAGAAGCAGAATTATCTGTAAGATACAAAACTATTTGTAAGATGACACAGAATTTATAAGATCCTATTGAATCTGTAATATGCAAAAGTGACTGTTGGAGGTTCAAGTAAAATACATGAGATGTCAAATGCAATAGAGGATATCGAAGAATTGAAATAAACCTAAAATGTTTAATTCATATATATGAATATTTAACTTACATCAGTGGACGCACAAAGATATTAAATCGATCAACATATAAATGTGAGTTAAATAATTGTAAAATTGTAACAAAGGAACCTCATTTAACTATTATCCTATTAAAAGTAATAACTTATAGCAAATAATGAAGTAGAAATAGATATACAATTTGTAGATAGATTTGAAGTATACAAGAAATATAGATTCATCATTAAATATAGACAATTATATTTATATTTTTATATTTTAGACGAATATATTCATTTGTAGGCTATAAAGAAATTTGAAACTTGCTTATCACCGAAACATTTATATGTTTATTACTATATAATTATGATAAGCCGCCTTTTACTTAATGCTCAATCGGTCTTTCCGTCTGGTATTTTTTCAAAGTTTCATAAACTGGTTCATTCTGAGCTCAATTGGAAGCAAACAGCACGCGCTACTTGATTAGATAAGTCGAAAGACTCAAGAGCTAATGGAAATAATAGTCTACTAATTAGTCTTAAATACTTTTTCTTTGAATCGAATGTGGGCATATATTAACTATTCTATATAAGTCAAGGTAGTTGAACGCAGTTGGTAAACACCTTTGAATACTAACTTTATTTAGATTTATATGATTTCGCTTTATATATATTAGATAGGGTATTTCAAAACAATGCAAACAAATCCGAACAGCTGGCATTTTTATTGATCTCATGTACTACGTATAGATATAGATGTACACTTGTATGAGTCCATATTGCAGCTATTATCAGCTTAAGAGTCGTTTAACTTTGTAGGACTAATAAATGTGTGTATAAAGCGAAAAAATATTTTTAATCAGCCACTGTTTTAATTGCCATTAGATAATTATTCTGAAAAGTTGACTTCCTTTTTTAATAATGTTAATAAAACTGCAATAGCTCCAAAAAAGCATGAACACTTATTATAAATAAAAAATTATCAAATTTTGCTAAGTCACAAAAGTTGCAGATAATGAAATCAATATACTAGTTTGTGCCGGTCGGTGAGATCGGCGCTGAATTATAAATGTCTAAGCTCAATTATTGCGTCACTGGACTTGGCTATGTATGTATATAGAAAAGGCAAAGAGCGAACAAAACATAAACAATGAATGCCAATTTACTTTTCGCTTTAAACACTATAGATAAACAACTTGAAATACGAAAAAGTAGCTAAAGCAAAACATAAACAAATAAGATAATTCTGAAAACACTGCTGTGATACCCTGTAATTGGTGGAAATATGAGTAACCAATTAGAAATTAGAAAAAAATGTGCCAAAATAGTTCTAATCAGATTAAGAAGTCAAACCAATAACGTGATAGATAAATTCCAATTCATTTCGAGATTCATGGCAAAACAAGTTGAAATAGTTGAAAGCAAAACAAAAAGCATGCCGAATAGCAGAAACCGCGCATGCCGCTTATCAGCGAAGGCAGAGAGTAGAAGAGTGGTAAATAGAGAAGAATAGAGGGAGAGAGATAGAGAGAGCAAAACAGAGGAAAGAAGAATTGTTCTATCCCAATTAAGTGTACATTTGTGTGGCACTTTTTTTTGCACTTAATCAAGCCATAAACATCTATCTCTAAATATATACATATATATCTGATTTTTATAGCAAGTAGCTCGATGTGTATGTGTGTGAGATGCTTCAGCTGTTGCTGCATATTTTGTTGTTGTTGTCGCTGAAAATGCTAAAAGTTGCCCTCAAGGTGATACGATATAAATCTGGTTACAAGACAAAATCGGTGGCAAATAATTTGTAAAATTGCTGTGATCTAAGAACACATGCATATATATATATACATTATATATATATATATATATATATATATATATAAATATATATATATATATATATATATATATATATATATATATATATATATATATATATTATATAAATATATTAATTTATTTTTATTTACTTATGTATTTCTATATAAAAATGCTGGTCCCTAAGTTAGTCATCTTGCATTAAAAATTGATATATATATATATATTTATATATATTCATATTTACTAGGCTTGATAAAAATGATCTTGCGTAAGAGTCGCTTGTTTATTTAGCATTTTGTTTAATTGCAATTAATGTATAAGTAATTTTGTCGTGAAATCCGATAGGGCACAGCTGTTGTGCTGTGTGCGCCAGCGCTTATTACTGCGAAAGCCTGGTGGTAAACAACCAAATAATTTAGTGCTATCCTCGAATTACCAGCGACAACGCAACAGGTGAACTTATCGAACGGAAGTGGGTAGATCGATAACCCTCATTAAATACAGCATATTGTTAGAAGGACAAGTTTTTTTTCGCAATTGCTTAGTCATAAAAATAGCCAAATAGTCAAATAGCCAAAAGGAAATTAATTTCAATGTCAATCCGATGCTGATTTGATGCTGTGAAACGAAATGGCAATGAGACATTTGGCGGCGACGTCAACAGCAGCAGCACCAACAGCAGCTGCACACAAACATTCACAAACACACACACACACATGGAAACGCAAGTAAACAAACTAATCGATAATTTGCACTCTTTTGCTCTCGCTCTTACTGCAATTGCAGTAAACGGTATATGCTGCGCCCATTGTATTGGCGCCCAAGCCGCCCACAATGTGAGCTAGTGTGTTTAGTGTGTGTATATACAGGGTCAGTGGCGGCCAAACCCATTTTCATGGCCGAAAGGCGAACGGCAACGGAGAGCCAAACCCAAAACAACAACAAAGATAATAAAGACGCTGATGATTTTAGCTGTATTACTCACCTGTTAAGTAGAAATTATTAAACTTTTGCGCTAGTCCCAGCAGACGCGACAGTTTCCCCTCGGTGGACGACATTGATGACGGCAAAAATAGAGTACAGGCTCGGCCAACCAAAGTAAATACAAATACACTTCAAATGCCGGCTACCTTTGCTCCCACTTCGCAACTTCAACTCCCACACCAATAACAGCAGCAACGATAACACTCGGACACGACGCACTTTAGATGCTTTGGGGCTGTTTTCGTTGTAATTATTTGTCCTCGGTAATGACTCCCTTTGTTTTTTGGCAGCACCAACTTATTATTAATTTTCTCTACTTCAATTAGGGATAATGGACAACCAACTACTTAAAACCAACCATCAAAACACAACCGGACGCAACGAAAACCACAGCCGTAGTGCTGCAAAATACGCGCTCAGCTCGATAACGATAAAGTATTTTCTTGAGTGTTGCAAACTTGAAAGCAACAGCTGATTGTTTAACAGCTGTTGGATTGGTTCAGCATACTGCCCTTGGCAAGCTGAATAGGAATATAAAAGTGTTGTTAAACATAATCTCGTATAGTGTTGAACAACACACGTGCGATACAAATGTCACGCTGACAAGAGTACAAAGTTAAAAAAAGTTAGAAACATAAGCAGAGCACGGGAAACGCATTCGTTTCCCATTTGTGTTGTAAGCTTCAATAAATTGGCATCTGATTGATCGTAAATTAGTAACTAACCTTGGCAAGGCAAGCGATAAAATTCCAAAATGAGTGACGACTACTTAAGGAAACCGTTTTCTTTAGCTCCCTCACCAGCCGGTAAGCAGCCCCTGCACCGTCCGCGCACCCATTACGCAATTTGACAAGCTGTTACATGCACTGTTTTTGAATGGAAACCAAAGCCTAAATTGTTTTTTCTTTGTGCATTATAGTTGACGATACACAAGCAACGACGGCAACCTATACACCGGCAGCGAGCACATTTAGTAATGCTCCCGTTTCGCCATACCTCAACTATGATTCACGGTTTCTGCAGCAGTCGCAGCCAGAGTTTATATTTCCTGAGGGTGCAAACAAGCAGCGTGGGCGTTTTGAGTTGGCCTTCTCACAAATTGGTACTTCTGTGATGATTGGCGGTGGCATTGGCGGTTTGGCGGGGGTCTACAATGGCATAAAAGTTACTAATGCGCTCAATCAGACGGGGAAGCTGCGTCGTACCCAGTAAGTGATTAACAGAACTGATTGTCTTGTATTTTGGGTGTGAATGCACTTTCGATATATTTATTTTCTGTTGTATATATGTTAACATACGTTTTATTTGTAGATTAATCAATCACGTCATGAAACAGGGATCTGGGACGGCAAATACATTAGGTACGTTGGCTGTGCTGTATTCGGCGTGTGGTGTGCTGCTGCAGTATGTTCGTGACCAGGATGATAATGTAAACACCATTATAGCCGGTTCTGCCACAGGCCTGCTTTACAAATCAACAGGTATTTTAGCTAACCTTTCGATTAAGTTTATATATTATATATATATTGATTATTTTTATATCAGCTGGCCTGCGAAAGTGTGCTCTGGGTGGAGCTATTGGTTTGGGCATATCATCGCTCTATTGCTTATACCTGTTGGCGCAAGACAGCAACAACACAAACTCAAGTCCAAAATTCCTGTAGGTGAGATGGTGGCGTAGCCCATAAAAAGAGTGAACAGCCTTAGCTGCCAACCCAATTGTGGCTTATGGCAGACATACACATACGTGCTTGTGTATACATCGCTTTAAAGCGCTTAACCGTCAAATATATAGTTCTGTTTTATATTATAAATACATATATAATATATATATATATATATATTTAGATTTATCTGGTCACATAAGAATTTCCATTTTAGTTTCAATGTTAAAATCGACATATTAGGCACACCACAAAATTCTGGTTGCAGATTACCAAAAAAATCATGTAAATCAAATCGAGCAAATAAAGTGGTTTGCTTTAAATGCAACTTGCCATCAAATGAAGCTTTATTGTAATAAATGCGCCAAGACACTGTACTACTACCGCTACTACACAATGTTATCCACGGTCCCTTAATAATCGAGTGCACCAGAGTCGTCGTTAGTTAAAGCTAAAACCTTAACGCTTTTGCTTTCGTCCAAACCATTGTTGGCGGGCGCCTCGCAGCTGGTGTCCTCCGTGGAGCAGGTGTGACAATGGCAATTGATGGCTTCCATATAGTTGTATTTGCGTATGCTATCGTCTGCCTCGGGATGACAGTTTTTCAGTGTGGCCACCGTTGGTTGACGCTGCGCATGCACACAGACCGGATGAAAGGAACGTTTGTATGGGAATTTCCAATCGGATATCTCGCTGGAATCACACCGACCCCAACAGCTCCAGACGCTCACGAAATCCCAGCACTCACGTCCCTGCAAATCCGACTGTGTAACACGGTACGTGTACAAGCGTCGATGGCAACCAAGTGGCGCGATTGTGGGTCCAGTATAAACTGGCTGCAGGTCAACCAATTGGGCACTGGCAACACGCAGCAAAGGCGATGCCAAAAAAACCAACGGCAGTCTGTGTATAACAGTTTTTATATGACAGTTAGCAAACTTTCAAATTAGTGCAATATTCTTGTGACTTACAACACTGCAAGCATTTCGAAGCTGCCTTTCTTTGCTGTTGGAGTTGCTGTTGAATGCGTGCTGCTTGCGTCGCAGCTGGCTGCGTTGTGTTGTATGCTCCTAGCATGCATTCGTATTTATAGCCAGAGTGTGGCCGCTGCTGCTTGGTAGTGGCGTCTGCGCACCGCATGCTCCTTAGCCTTCAATTGCTTGCCTAAAAATAAACTTGATAATTGCTGAGAGTTTTGCATATGGAATTCAATTGCAACATTTGCCGTTGACAATTTGAATTCAAATTTGAGGATATAATTATAGAAACAGCCTTTACTACTATTAATATTCTGCATTTTATTGTGTATGATGCAAAGAATTTTGAAATACCATGAGAAATTTAGATAACGGAATTTTCGTGATGAAATGTCCAAAAATTATTATTCTGGCAACAAAACGTTTGTCGCGCCTCATGTTATGCAATAATTTGTAGTTAGTTGCCAAGAATTGTGTGAGCTATCGAAAGGTTAATAAAAAACGGTTTCTATGGACGTGGGCCACGCTGCGAATTTCTGCACCAGAATACCTTTGCCCACGCTAACGCATCCTCTACTATTGTGTGTACGTACGCCTCCAAACATATTCGTTGGGCAAATTCGCCGGTGGTTATTATCTTTAAGGGGTCACAGCCGGTTAGAGTCAAGGAGGAACAGGTGCCTGTTCGGAATTGGGTTAGTTTAACGTTGGTTACCATGACGCGAGCGTCGCCTACGACCGACGACGTATCTCATGATGCGAACCATAGCGCTGATTACGCAGCTGCACCCGAAAGCGCCGATTGTTGTCCGGGCCTCGATCCTCGGCCTGGCGATTGAGGTTGGCGGCGGGCAAGACGGCTGCATCGATAGCAGCAGCTGCGGCTGCAGGCGGTATGCCAGGCGCTGGAAGCGGTAAAGCAACCTGCTGCGGCAACTGCAGCTCCTCGCCATCGACATCCTCGTTGGGACTTTCGTCATCTAAATCATCCAAGGCCGGATCATTGTTGTCCACCAGCGATTGTGAGCGATTCGTGCTGCCAACATCTTCGCGCGCCATTGCCGTGGCCATTAAACGCTGGCGCCGCTCCTCCATCAGGCGATCACGCTCCTTGTGTATGTAGTCGCGTTTATTGGGTAGCCCAGCCACATTGTTGGCCGATAGTGCCGACCGCACAATGTTCATATCCGTTGCCTCCATCCATTCGTCCGTTTCGGCCACATAGCATTCCGTATGCGAGATGGTGGAGACGCCATTGAATCCCCCAATGGCAAAGATCATATCATCGATTATCTCCAAGCCAAAATTGCTGCGCGAATGATTCATTTGGCGTATGAAATGCCACGATTGGGATTCCGGATCAAATCGTTCGCCAGTGGACAGTCTAGATGTGCCATTGAAACCACCAATGACATAGAGCTGATCTCTGAACGCTACACAGCTAACGCCGGAGCGACGATGATTCATATTTGGTATGCGCGTCCAGACATTTGTTAAGGGATCATAATATTCGGCACTATCCAGGCATTCCTGGCCATTAAATCCACCGGTTGCATAGATGCGTCCATGCAGCGTGCAAGCGCTCGCATCGGACCGTTGCATGTTCATGGGTGGAATGATTGACCACTGATTAGTCTTCGGATTGTAACGTTCGACGGTATTAAGGCGATTGTGTCCATCATAGCCCCCAATTGCATAGATCATGCCATTTAGCTCGGCAACGCTGACATAGCAGCGACGACAGTGCATGGGCGCGATCTCATTCCACTTCTTTTTGACGGCATCAAAGACGCGACAGGTGTTGAAGTATTCGACGCCATCATAACCACCTATGGAATAAATTTTAAAGCCAAGTACTGCAGTGCCATGGTAGGCGCGTGGTCCAGCTGGATCTTCGGCATTGATATTAACCCAACGATCGGCACGCGTATCATAGGTCTCGATGCAACCCTTCGATGTGCCACCACTCCAGCCACCAATTGCGAAAATGACCTCGTGCGGCAGTCGGGGCATCGCCAGCGGTGGTGTCGTTAGCTTGGGTTGAAAGAGCAAGTCAAATGGCACGTATAAGTTGCTGCTGCAGGAGCAGAGGGGGTGTTAGCATTACCTCTTCGGCTTGTGGGTTAAGAAAGTCCAGATCATACATGAATTTAAAGGTATCGACTATCAGCGGCTTGGCAGCCTCGCATTGAATGACATAGGGATGCTCCTTGACCTCCTCCATGAAGCACTACAAATTGAACATTCGGTTCACACGTTTATATACTTGGTATTCGATATGTTACCTTGGGGGTCATCAGACCAAGGCGCACGCCCGTCATCAGATGCGCCACATGCTGCTTACGATTCTCTGGATCGCGGTCAATCCATTTGACGCACAGCTTCCAAACGTAATCCTCTTCACGTGTATTGAGCTCGTCATCACTAATAATGCTGTAAAAGTCCTTAATGTTCAAGTCTAGTATGTCTGTATTCCGGGCGGCCACATCTGTGAAGTACCTAAGCGTATAATTACGTGCCTTCTGATACAAGTCCTCGAGAAAACGAAAACTGTAAAGGCAAAATGCAGTAAGCCAATCAATTAAAAGAGGATTAATTTTCCCTTCATTTCGCTATGCGATGGAGTCAATTAGATGAGATTTAAATTGCAGGTGGGCAATAGAAATGGAAAGTAATCGAAAGAAAGAGTTGACGATGTAAAGGGAAAGTAGATTGGCAATTGGAAATCATACTGACCGCGCAAATCCCATGATACTGACACAGTTCTCCGGGCTTAGTGTACGGCTGAGATAGTCTTTGCACTGTTTGACCAGCCCCACCATTCCCACATAGTCCGCACAAATAAGCAACTCATGTACATTGTCGTCGCTAATATTAGTCTTGCGCAGGTAGGCGTATTGTATCACACAATTCATGATGGACGCACTGATCCCTGGTATATGCACGACACGGCTCTCGTCATTCCCCGCACCGGTGCGGCTATTAAAGCCCGTAAACTGTGCGCTGCCAGAAAACCGCAAAACGGAGGCAGAAAGAAAAGAATTCAAAATAAATTAACATATAAAAGTTATAGATTGTATTGTTAAGTTCTAAAAGGGAATGAAGAAAAGTGAAATTGGCTGTTTAACTGCTTAACCAATACGTAATACGTAATACATGTAAACGTAAGCTCGCACAAACATACTTATGCTTACAAGCGTTTCCTTGTACGCGTACGTATGTTGTGAGGTGAATATTACATTTCGCAATGACATTTAAATTACGAACTGCGTAAGTTAAAGCGAGATGCAGACAACTGCAGTGACGTGCATATTTCAAACCCACCATGATCTGTTAAAGTTGAAGTGAGTGCTGATGCCATTAAGTTTGATTTAATTAGTTTTTCATTTTCTTTATATTTTTAAATGGCAATCAAAATAATAATTTGCTGATTAGTGAATTATTTAATATTACCAGATTACATCTTACAAACTTAAAATATTTTCGTGGGCATAGCTCGTATCTATAACAGCATTTATACATGACTTTCTGTGTGTATATTTGTATGTAAGTAGGTGTGCGCAGTGTGGTGGATACTTAATTTCATTCTGACATTCAAGTTATGAATTATGAAAGTTAAAGTGGGATGCACACAAGTAAAGTGGAATGGATATAGCAATACCTTTACATATGTGAGCATAATAATCGAGCATTAAGTTCGCTTCTATTCTTTTTGTTTGGCTTTTTGGCAAGTCGAGATATTGCATTTTAATAGGAAATATAAATATACACATATATATTAGATATTTCCCACATTTGTACGTTTTGTTAACTCACCGAAAATATGAGCTACAGGAACACATGATGGCACGGTGCACATTGAAGGACTGCTCACCCACCGAGATCTGCGCGTCACACAGGAGATTCGCTTCGCGCAGCTCGTTGAGCACGTTGAGAGCATGATCGCTGACAATCGGTGATAGGGATTTAGTGGATGGCTTTTGTGTGGGACTATTTTCAAGTTCATCCCCTTGATAGCTGCCGTCCATTTCCACGTCCACCATTTCGATCGGTGCCAGTTCCAGTTGGCCCTCATTCATGCCATGTAAATGATTACCGTTTTGCCGATTCATACCGTAAGCGAGCCAGCGATTTTTTTTCGGTTGGGTCTGAAATCCTGGTCCTTGTCTAGATTGGTATCATTCGATTTATTGTGGAAAAAAGCAGGTTTGGAAATTGATTTACAATAGTTGCATATGGACACGACGATAATCGAAAGAATGGTATCCTACCAAGCGAAACGCGTTTTGTTGATATTTTGTATTTTTTGTGGGCTGTTTTTAGGGAGAGATCTCTCCGTATTTAACAATAGGAACAGAAATAATGTTCGATAATTAATCAACAACAACGAGACAGTTCTCGTAACGCACGAAATGGGACTACTAAGTGAGAACTAAAAACTGAAGGCACCCTAAGCAGGTTTATTTCTATGTGCTAAGCCCTCTGGCTCGCACCTATGGCCCCAACAACTATTCACTTACCCACACTTCCTCTTTTCCACACTTATTATCTACGTAGCAGGGTACCACAACCCAGGCAAAGGCACAGGCTGAGATTGAAAATGTTCAGATTGCCTTGGCTTTCTGAACTAAACACGAGCTTTCTAGACATATGCCGCAAAGCCTAAGAGGATCATTTCCAAACATCATCTCATCGTTCCATTTTCTATGCATAGCATTTGGCTGGATCTAGATTTTCTCTCTTTCAATTGACCCACATATACTTGCTAATAAAGTACCAGTCATATAGTCCTAGACCAAGATTTTGCATTACCTGGTAGCATATAGCCGGAAAATTTGACCCAAAATATGCCATTCCCTGTTTCCAATAGTTACTACTAATTGGTTTAAATTTTCGTGGATATAGTCCTGCTGAACCTAAATCCTTGCGATATGCGTCACGAAATGGTCAAAAAATATGCTTCATTTTTATTTAGTATATATTCTCTTAAAGATCAAAAGCAAGTTATCGTCATCTTGGGCTAACGAGTTTGGCTAAACTGCATTACATTCAACTGACTTTAAACATTTTTAGCAAGCAAATTTCGTAGCATAGTCTCACGGGGCGGCTGCTGCGATCAAAAGTTGAAATGGATATTCTGCAAAAGTGCCAGACGAATCTGCAGTAGGCTGAAAATCTTATAGGATTCCTGAACTATATCAATGGTATTGAGAATTCAAGGATATTTAGGTCAACTAAGTGCCAACGGAGAGGAGGGGGGCTGATGTCTGTCATTCATATGGTATACATTTAGCATGGATTCAAGTTTGCGGACCATCTTCTAGGTTCACAGGACTATTTTAATGGCATGGTAGAACCAAGGACTGTAAAGCAATTACCGAAAGAATTAACGAGCTCTGAGCAATTCTCAGTTGTAGGTTTACAAAACTAAATAATTGATATGGTAGAACCAAGTTATTTGTGGATTAATTTTATAAATAAAAAGTGAATACATTTGATTTCCTAGATTCTAATTGTATTTAGGTCGTTTGTCTTATACGAAGTTATTTTTGTTGTCTCTCTGTCAATTTTCTTAAGCTCATTTGAAATATTCTGCAATAAAATTGCTTACATTTAGCATATAAACAATGGATAGGAATGTTTTTAGAAATTTATGTTTTGGTATATATTAAGAGCCGGAATATGCAAACCTAGTTCTTATGCATGAATATTTGAGACAAGCAATAACCCCTTTGCCTTCATTACCCCTCATTAAGTGCAGTCCATTGGCCACGGCGGCATTTGCCGTTCGTCCTTTGCGCACGCGTCGTATTCGCCGATGAGCGGAATAAAATGGGGCGGCAGCTGATACTCGGGCATCAGTTCGCATTGAGGTACGGCCGAGATGAAGTCGCTAGCGTTATTGGCTTTTGTTTTCTGGCTGCTCTGTTCCTGTGTCCTGGCTGCCGAAAGCAGTGTAGCCACAGGCAAGGATGCGTGGCTGCGTCCCGGCTGTCATAAGGTGGGCAACACGCGTAAGATCTCCATACCAGATTGCGTAGAGTTTACGATTACAACGAATGCTTGTCGCGGCTTTTGCGAATCCTATGCGGTGCCTTCGATAACATCTGTGTTGGCTGGCGTCTTTCGACCACCCAAGCCAGTCGTATCCGTGGGTCAGTGCTGCAATATGATGAAATCCGAAGAGGTGAGTGCCTGACAGCAGCCAAGAGCCATTCTTGATAAAATCTATCTATTCAGATACAACGTCGTGTGCTTTGCATTGAGGGTATACGCAATGTGACCTTTAAGAGCGCCGTCTCCTGCAGCTGCTATCACTGCAAGAAGGACTAGGACAAAGTACTATCAGACATGCTAAAAAATATATATATGTATATTTAAATTTTTTGCCTGAGCCACTGAAGTTTCCTCTTTATCTTGTTTCATGTTTTTGTTCGCTAAACACAAATAATAAAAGAAAATTCTAATAAGCCCTAATTATTACGTGCGATCACTGTCACTATTCGACTGCAGTACAATTACTCAAATCCAAAATAAGATGACCCATGTCGGCTAGAGCAGTTTCGATGGCCATGCCAAAGTCTGAGGGCGAAATCTCTGGATTATGGTTCCAGGCCGAAATGGTAAAGGTTATATCATTATCACGCAAATTGTAGCAGCAGCCATAACCATCCGAGTTGAGGGGTCCATACACCATGAACGAGTCATGTGGTGTCAACAGTTGGGAGCTGAGTATGCGGAAGTCTTTGGATTTCAGGAAACCATCGGATTGGAAGAAGTTGGGCAAGGCTATGCCATGCTCATATGCCATCTGTTCCAATCCAAAGAAATGTCTATCTATGCCGCATCCCTTTAGCGCCAGCATCGTCTGCTGTCGATGATGATCAACAGCGGCTTTTAAGGCCAATAACCGATTTTGAGTTGTCTCGTCTTCCGAAATCATAGCAAACACAAATTTCAGAGACTCATTGCTGGTTGTCCGTATAATTTCGCTGCGTCCGTATTTGAAAATACGCAAGTGAGCCGTCTCCATCTGAGCAGGCAACTGACGGTGCAGTCTATAAAAAGCCAGCTGCAATGCCATCTGTATAAAGCAATCTGATTCCAGATGCTGCGTATGCAGCAGCTTCTTGCCATAGCATTCGAATCGGGTTGCATGCAATTGCAACCGACTGGTAAGTTCATTTACTGTCCGATTGGCAGTCTTTAACCAGAAGCTGATACTCTCATCCTTTTCATCGAAGAAAAGCCATTCTAATGCGTCAGTTTGGTACGAATCCTTAGCATCGTTGCCATACGTCGGCTCAGGGCTAAAGTAGAAGCGTATCAAATTAATTGCTATTCAAAATTCCAATTAGAATAAAGAGACATACATTTTCTTTAGCACATAGTCCATGATACTAGCCGCCGGTTGGGGCTCAGCGGGTGAGTGTTCGCAGCAGAGTCCGGCTATACCATTCGGATTGACAATCAGCTGCAGCGTCTTGTCCATCCAGCGATTGGCGCTGTTGATATGCGGGCCACCTCCATGCATAAGTTGACTCGCCAACAAGACACGCTCCTCGCCAGCAGGCACATGAATGGCTTCATCCAAAGAGACGGTAAATAGAGATTGTTCAATGCATTTAATTGTCTGGGCATTCAATTGGTTGCGACAAAGCAGCTCGTGTCCCTCGGCCCAGTGGTCGCGTCTATCGTGGGTGAGCAAGCCAATTGGTTTACCCAGGGGTCTTCCAGACTTAATAATTTTAAACAGTTGCTTTCTGATATGAAAAACATTAAAGATACGCATATCCTCGGCATCGAACACGGGCAGCTTGTAGAACTACAAAAGGAAAATCGGGGTTAGTGCGATTATCACTTGGCAGACATTTTAGGAAGCCTCACGTTATTCTTGTGTATGACAACCACATAGTTCGATGCGCACTGCTGTAGGGTATCAGATGATCGCTGCGGTATGCGGACCGTACCGAACACATTGTAGAATTGACTATTGTCTAGATCAAAGCCCTCCAGTTTACGTACAGGTAATTGATTGTTTTCCACTATGCTATGGAATTCGCACATGGCATAAATAGCCTTAGCCGTAAAGCTTAAAAAGTTTAAGCTATTGAGGAAGTTTTGCTGAGGGAACGATATGCATGAACTGGAAAATATCGTCAGTGGTGCACGATAACCTAAGTAGCTGACATTGGTCCAGCGATCGGTGAGCCAATTAACATTTGATTGTCCAGTTTTTTCCAGCAGCGATTGCAATTCATATCCTTGATTTCGCATGAAGTCCACTGCTAAGTCCTCCTCTTTTTGCATTTCACTCTCGCTGAGTAGCGGCTGTACACTTTCCAAGTAACGAGTGAGAGTATGCTGCAGCGGTTGAACTGGATATTTCAGCAAATCCCTTGGTAATCCATTTTCCCGTACACGCACCAGTAATTGGTTAACTTCTAGTGGAATAACATTGCCCAGTTGCTCCTGAGGTGAACTAAAAGCGGGCATAGACTGTGCCCTGGCTTCGGGCATGAACCTTGATCTCATTTCTAGATTGGAACTTGAATGAAACGCGGTTTTTGATACATCTGAACGACTGCCATTATGGGTATAAGTTGTGGCAGCTGATATTTTTATGATTTTGGGACTCCTCTCCTCCTCTTCTTCCTTCTGTTCGCTCTTCGTTTTTGCTTGTTGTGTTGGAGGATGTTCCGTTTTGCCCCATTTCACCACATACTCTACGAGTTTCGTCACTAATGACTTTTCGTTGGTTGACTTAGCTCTGGTTGACGTACGTGAATACCTCGACTGACGGTTGGAAAGCTAAACACAATTACGCCGGTCAACAATTATCTGATTCTTGCATACTCACTTTGCCAAAGAAATGTTCAGTAGTGATTAAGGCACGCATTATAAAATTTTGAGAAGAATCGAAAGATTATAACAAATTTGGAAACTAGACAATATATCTAACGCTAATGTGATTTATATATAATATGTAAAACTTACTGAGTTTCAAGTTGATATTTTTATCGAGATGTTTAAAAAAAGAGCCACTCTTTAGTCGAACTTAGAATTTAATCAACATTATACAACGAAATTGATAATGGAACTACAACTTGGATTTCATGGCTTCGTTGTCGAGGACAGCTTTCATTTCCAAGAAAGCGCTTGTAAGCGCCGCGGCGAACTTGATGGGGTCCGTTTCTTCATTTGAAGCCCACGCTGAGATAGCCACGATAATATCAGACTCGCGTGGATTATAACAGCAGCCGTATCCGTCAGCGGTGTTCGGCCCGTAGCCCATGAAGGCCTCGTACACGGAAGCCACTTGCGATGTGGACACACGGTAGTGTTTCGACTTCATGTATCCCAATGATGAAAAGAATTTGGGTATTGGCAAGTTGTGTTCTTCGGCCATCAGCTTCAGACCCAGGAGATGGCGATCTACGCCGCGACCCTGCAGCGCCTGTTTCGCATACGCTTGATGACCACTGACAGCATCGCGCAGTGCTTTAACACGTTCCTCGAGATAGGTGCCTGAATCGGTCATCACCTTGCAAAAGGCGAGTGATTCATTCGAACAGGAGCGTATAGTTTCTGTGCGTCCATTGGCAAAAATACGTAAGTGAGCCGATTCGTATTGAGCAGCCGGCACTTTGTGAAGTCTGTAGAATAACTACATTAGATATTTGTGGACAATTTTATATATATATATAATATACTTGTAAAATGCTAATTGCAATGCCATCTGCACGAAGCTATCTGGTCCCAGACGCATACTTTTAATATATCCCTTGCCGTAACACTCAAATTTTAGCACCTTCATCTGCAGATTTTTAATAAGTTTATCGACATACGTTGTAGAATAGAACAGCAATTGATCAATGCACGGATTCGTCGTACTGAATTTGAGCTTCTCCGGCTTTTGGGACACATTGGAGCCGCATTCACCATATTTCTTGTCCGCTTCCCTAAACAATTAAAAACCCAATTTAGAAACACGAAAATAAGATCAATTTTGTTGGGACACTATACATTTTTATACATACATTTTCTTTACTACGTAGTCCATCATCATAGCAATAGGTTGACCTTCAGCTGGAGAATGTTCATAGGTGAAGCCAACGTTTCCATTTGGATTGACTACCAGTTGTATGGTTTTGTCCATCCAACGATTGCCGGTGTTCACTTTACTACCCCCACCATGAATCAGCGACAGGATCAATTCATCGGCTCGGTTAGCGGGCTCATACGGCACAAATTCATCCAGAGAAACAGTGAAGAGTGATGTCTGTATTTCTGTTAGTGTCTTACAATTGTCAGGATCTTTGCTCAATGCCTCATAGGCCTCGGCCCAATTATCGCGCGTGTCTGCGGTGAAAATACCAAAAGGTATACCATGCTCTTTTTCCGCATTCATAATTGATGTTAATTGTTGAGCTAACACAGGAGCAGATAAGATTTTATTGTCTTTGTCGTACGGGATCAGCTTGTAGAACTGTTGGATTATAAGCAAATATGTTAAAGTAATCAGAGATATAACAAACTGAACCTACATGATTTTTGTATATGACCACAATATGTTTGGAGCAGGGGTTATATATTAGCTCATCCGTGATGCGTACTGGTATACGACAGGTGCCAAAGACCTTGCCGAACTGACCATTGTCCAACTCATTTTTGCCCATTTTGACAATTGGTATCTTACCAGCATCAACAACGCCTTTAAACTCGCATAGTCCATATATAACTTTGGCCGTATAGTTAAGAAATTCGGTATTATCTTTAAAGCTCGCAGGGGGGAATGTCATGCCGGGACTAACATAAATGGTGACAGGATCACGATATTGTAAATAGGCGAACTTTTGCCAACGGTCTGCAAGCCAGTTACATTCCTTCTTGCCAGCCTCCTCGAGCAGTAGTTGCAGTTTATCCCCTTCATTGTCTTTAAAATCAGATGTTATTTGTTGCTGTTTTTTGAACTCTTCTGCTGTAAGTAGAGGCTGAACGGTGGCCATAAAACGATCCATGGTCTCTTTCAGTGGCAGTACAGGATACTGTAAAAGATTCTGCTTCTGTTTCGAGATCTGTTTGTCTCCCGATGAATCGGGTATTTTTGTGGCAAAGCAGGCAGGCGGCACCAGTTTGACAAGAGCTTCCGATGCTTCTTTAGCGTTGACGGAGCCTTTAGTCTGTTGGAAAGTGTATTAATGTGCATTCGTTTATAATATTCTCATTGTTTACCAAATTCCAGAAAACCATTCCATTCTTTAACAATCTCATTTTGGATTTGGAGTCTTCTACGTTGGTCTCAACTGTGAAGCTGCAATGAAAAAAATACACATACGCACAATATTATCGTAATCCAAAGGTTATATTGTTTGTTTCTGTGTGTGTGTGTGTGTGTGTATTCTTCACCTTTGGTTAGTGTGCATAATCGTAAAGACTTTGCGATAAGCAGGGCGTTACAATTAACGTTAGCGACAACACGGGCACACTTGGCAAATAAATAATATAAATGCAAAAGCCCAATATCTGTTGGTCCACGTAGGCAAAAGTGCAGTTAACAAAATTGATATCTCAGAAAACACGACCGGTTTCTTTTTTACCAATATTATAACTGTGCTGTCGCAGTCACAGTCGCTGCCGTTGTCGTTGCCTTTTCCCGAACCTGTAGCTGGGTTGTTTTGCTATCGCTGCCGACGTTGGCGTCAGCGTCGATGTCGGCATCGAAAGTGAGAGCGGTTTGAGCAATGCCTGTTGCCAATTGTTGATCTCTGTTGTTGTTGTACTGTCGGGTACAAAGTCTGTGGACATCTTTTTCTTACCCTGCGTCCTCTGAATTATTATTAGCGGCTGTCTTTTTGAATTTGTATCTTTCTATATGTTATAAGGCCGCAATATGCTATGACATATTTTTTGAAAATAAAATGGGGCAATATACTGTACAAAGTGGTTTAACTTTTTATCCAAATAAGATATTTTTTGCAATAGTGACGTGAGTTCAAATAAAAAGCATTCATTTCGCGATACTATCGCCGATGAAGATAGAGATGAATACTGTTAAGTAATTCTGTTAGCTGGTGGAGTAATTCTGTAAAGTTAGCATTAAATTCGTATGCGGAAAATTTCAACTCATGCAATGTTTTTAACAAATTAAAAACCTATCTTCAATTCGTACTTCAGTTCAATGGTATACATTTTGAAATGTAATGTTATATATTATTGAAACATAAATGCAATTTTTTGTATTTTATTTGATGCATTTATTGCAGTTTGAATGGTACAATTACATGGTCTAAGGCTAAGATATTTAATTTGTTGTACAAACGCCTCGCTTTGTAATGCGTTTGCGCATAAATTCTGTTTCAAATACAAAAATCACAGCAATTCTTAGCATAGATTATGAACTTGAACTACAATTGTTGTGCTTATTTTTCTTATTCAGATTTCATTCATAATTTGCTTTAATTCAAATTTAAATTCAAATCATTTGTGGCACCTCATGGAGGTGACTTGTTAACTAAAATTAAAGCGAAAGTTAACTTATAAACTGCTTAAACTCGATATATAAATAATTCCATACAAATTTTAGTTTTTTTTGTTTTTTTTTTTTTAGTTTTTGTAAAAAGCCGCATTCAGCACTTCTTGTGCTGTTTGTGTTTGGTATACACAGATATAGTGAGAGGATATACATACATCGTTCTTTTGTTGTCTAAAGCTATCACAGTATTGAAAAAAAAACCAGCACTTGGCTTTCATATTATTTACACAATCAAAAAAATGCTATATAAAACCAAAAGCGGCGATGCCAATGCCCAACCAAACTAGCAAACTAGCTACTACATCATCTATATGGAGATACCGACAACCTAAACTAAATACTAAACTGGTGGCTTATTTCTAGACATGCTTCGTCATTCCTGTCGTCCCGCCAAACTTCTCGGGATGTGCATAGGGTGTCCAACTTGTCTTGCTGTTGTTTGTCGCGCTCAACACATTCATATACGAACTGGAACTAGAGTTGCTCGAGGCGGGCGACGAAGCAAAGCCGCTGCTGGCCAAACTAACGCCCAACTGTAAATAGAAAGAAAGCATATATTAGTTTAATTAACATATCAAGTGTATGCAAATCCCCTGAGAAGAATCAACACGCGTGGCTATTTTTTTTAACTGCCTTGCTTGCCCCGAAAACGAGTTTGTCGTCTGTTGCCGACTGCTGACTTTAAATCTAATCCATTTCATTTGACGCGCCCGTAAAATTTTACCATAAAAAAACAGCCGCAACCTAATGAACATTCAACCAGACACGTTAGACAGCTTGGCGACGATTTCCTTACACTTAGATCAAGCCTTCCCCTATACATATGGTAGATGATATAACCAATTACAGTTGCTTGGCTCACCTGTTGCTTCGCGCCTGTTTGGCTCGAACTGCCTGCATCGACAGTTACATCCAAACCGTTGTCATCAAAGCAATCTATGCAAATATCATCATCATGCTCCACTTCTATGCACGAACTGGATGTGGTTGAGTTGCGGCTAAGTGTAACAGTATCGCTCTCGTTGCCTTCGTCGCTGCTCTCCGCATCGGAGAGCGCTGGCTCCAGCTCCAGAGCGTATACAGACTGTCGGCGCTCCTGGTAGGCCTCGTCATCACTGCTGCCCCGTATAATAACATGTTTCTTGGCAATTGGCATATCGTCCAATAACTTCAATTCACACGGATTGTAAACCTGATTACCGCCGCCAATGATGCCCCCACTTCCCGTCAGATTCTGCAACAGATTTGCGCGTGCGTATTTGCCATCCGAAATGTTGGTTGCTTGGCGTGTAAAGCTGGACATGTGCAGGGTGGCACGTGTTATGGCATAGACCAGCAGGCCTACTCCCAGCACCAGAGCACCCCAGAAGCCCAAAGGATTGACCAGCGGCAAAAGATTCAGATAGAAATTGAAGCGCGTGTCAAGTTCATCCGGCAGCTTAGGCATCATCTAAACATAAGAATTTAACCATATTATACATATCCCATTATGGCAATGATATGTGTTTTTCACTTACGATCTCGAACCACAGCATTGGGGCAGTCAGATGACTAAACTGTGAGACTTGCGGATAGTTTTGCAGATCCTTGAAATGCATGTTGATTTGCACTTTTACGGACAGCGAGAGCGGCAGACCGGATTCCTGAAAGTGAGCGCAAATATGCAATTAATTTATGAACTAACCGGGTAGTGAAGTGTTATTTAGTTATTGAGTGCCAAGTACGACACCGTTTCGGCTAAACTTGGCCTAATTTTATTTAATTACTTAAATATAGGCCTGGTTTTTTTTGCGCTCTTTCCTTGAAATACATTGTTTGAGACTAAGTTGCTTCTATTGACATAGTGATTGATTCTACATTCGCATGACAATTATTTTTATGCATTTAAATATTTCATATTCCCCATATGCTGCGCCTTAATTGAACGTTAAGCAGTAATCGCACAAGTGTTGTTAAGTCGGCAAAGCAATTAGTGTTGTAGGCGGGCTTCAAGAATTATCGAATTTGCTGCAGCGATAAGTCTATCGCCTTAACTTTTGTGAAATGTGTAAATTTAAAATGCGTTTTCAATCGAAATGAAGGTTACAACGAATATCTTGTCAATCAAATTCCGTTAGCCTAACTGGCGCGAAGCTCAGATAGTATTTTATTTCCTGTTATACATAAATTTAATACAACTTTAAGTATGATCAGTTTAGTCGTGACTAGTTGTATTTACGGTTAACTTAATTAGCCGGAAATGTAAATATTGAAAACAGCAGCCAATATAAATTTCAATAATAAACAATTAATTTTCACGCGATTACACTCGATCGGAAGGTAAGCAAACAAAAAAAACAACATACAATAAAAACTACTGACAGCAATTGTCGACAGGGGCAATAACAACAAGTTTAGCATGATTAAGTCGAATATTATTTTAAACGAGTTAATTGTTACATTTAATGTGGTGAATGTTTAATTAAGTATTGCTTATATATTCTCGTAAATTTTGTTAATCGTTCAAACTGAAAGCCACTACTGCAAGGCAAGTTTTATTTTATTTCTTTTTTTTTTGTCAATTGGCAAGGTTACTTACAGGTTGTATGACAAATGCTGTTGAATGCTTTTCAGGATCAGGTTGCATGCCTGTAATGTTCTCCACCAGGCCAACGTCGCCATTCATAAAATGTGGGAAGCTGAGAGAGATGGGGAAACCATAATAACAATCCGTGACGTCAATCAAGCCAACCGGCTGGCAATCACCTGCAATACAGAAGAAGCAATTGCAGTATTACTATCAGTTTTCTTCTTCGTTTTTAACGGAAGAGAGAATAACATGTTATTGGATGCCTCCCATAAAAGGCAGCCAATTGCGTGTCTCAAAATTCTGACGCACGACTTTATCTAGATACTTTCATTGCAAACAATAAACAAAAAAAAAAAAAAAAAACAAAACCAAAACAAAGCGACAATAATACGAAATAAATGTTTCGAAACATGCGAAACGCGTTGGCGCTTTGTCGCGTTGTTCGTTTGCGTCAGAGCTTCGATATTATGGAATATTTTGGAGACTGCCCCCTCGGTCGAGCTAACAAGCCGTAAACTTGAAGCAACAAAACAAAACATTCGATGCCAACTGATAAACTGAATACTCTGAGGGGATATCAATTAGCTAGCGCAAGCGGAGGTACGTTTAAAAAACAAGAATTATTTGTGCTTTGTACTTAGCAATTAAATACATCGACGACGTCGATCATAAAGAACGAGACTTTGCTTCACTTGCTTGAATTCCAGGCACAGACAGCAGCATTACAAATTCAAATGCAATGAAGTAATAGTTCCAGAAAGATTTCTTTTTAATTGTTCCGACACTTAACCAGAAATGCTGTCCGTAGAAAATATGATGTAAGACTAGTTGAACTAATTGTGGGCTATTAAGCATTCGCGCGTTTACTGGACTTACCGTGGCGGCAGAAACATTTGTTGGCCTCATTGATGGCACCGTTGTCGAAGGCATTCTCCTCAAAGACATAGTTGTAGCCCTTCAGACTGCCAAACGTGCGCTCCTCACCATCTCGATACTGTTTACATCAAGAAAAAGATCCTCAATTATTATCTAAATGATGGCTGAAAGCTGATATCACTTACCAAATTGATGGGCCTGCACATGCTCTTACGGAAGAACTTGACTGTGTCGTTGGGCTGGATGAAACTCTTGAATTTCGTGCCATCAGAGGCATACTCAATGTTGTTGCAGTGATCACCCTCCCATTGGGGCAGCTTTGTCTCGCCCCGGTATGTGGCGTACAGACCCGATATGGCTGGATCTGGCACGCCCGTATAGAACGTCTCAAAGTCCGTTGAGAAATCATACATGCGATCAATCAATCCCACCTTCTCGAACGATATCCAATTGGGCAACAGCGTATTGCCCAGCGTCGCCAATGTCGATGGAAAGCCAAACATGAACTCTTTGGCCGTCATTCGGACAATCGGCTCCGATTTGGTGCTGGCAAAAAGTCCTTGCATTGGCAAGCGTACAAAGAAATAGTTACGATCGGCAGTTAAATGCGAAATGGCCTGAAAGGGAAAAAGATAAGAAAATTTAAGTAGATTTAGCCATAAAACAATATTAATAGTAATTAAACTTGGTACTGGTAAATTGGTATAGCGTCTTCAAATTCTTGGTAAGGACGACAAGCTGAGTCTTTGTAGCTATATCTATCTGTCCTATTTATAAACCCGAATCTATTAGATTTACATATTTTAATAGAATTTCCTCAATACCCCAAGCAATACAAGCTTATTATAGCTATCGATAAGTCATCTCAATTGCTTATTATCGATCAATATAGAAAATTGAGACATGGCCTTTTAGGCATAACTTGAATATCAATAAGGTTAAAGGAAACAAATTTCTCTTAAGCATAGACAAATTATTAAAAAATTCCTATTTTCTAGAAAGAGTGAAACTTTGTCTTAGAGCGTTCTTATTTTTGTTTTCAGTTTAATGTTAGGGAAAACCCATTTGATGACTGGTGTGCTAATTGCCAGCCATGTCAGGATCTATTCGAGCTGTGCGTGCCACATTAACAGCTGCTCAGCGGCTCGTTATCGTCATTAAATAGAGCACTTAATGCACAATAATAAATAATTACGTACTTCCTGTGCAGCAGGTAATGTTTTATAGGTGCCACGTAGCCCTGCACCCGGCTGACAGGCGCTTGTCAGATAAAATGCATTATTCAACATTTTGGATCCACATTGCACCCGGATGCTAAATGAACTCTAAACAAATCAAATTACTTTTCGATTTCCTCTTCTTCTTCGTCGCTCGATTGACATCACAGAAGCGAAGCTAAATTGGCATTTGTGCGCGACACAAAAGTGTTTTGACATAAATTAAGCAACTGCAACTATGTTAATTCTTAAGTTTTAATTGAAACATCATAAAGTCAACAACTAATTACAGTTCAAATGTGCATAAATATATAGATATATAGATATTTACTGATTGAATGTACGTAAATGCGGTTTTGATTTGTTTACGATATTAAAATGCGATATCGTCATTAATCAATAACAAACACGCCCACAGACAGCGGCAATAATAATTATTGTAATAAAAGCAACAATACTTTCGAAATACGCGCTAAGTGCTCGTGTGAGCGAGATAGCTGCCTATGTAATAGTTAACGGTAGCTACTCGCATGACGCGCCTGCTGCTGCTCACTTACTCACACTATGGCCATCCCTGTCGCACGCTCTCCCACAACCGCAAATGCTCATTGTGTGCAAATTAATTGCCCATCATTTAGTTAAACATGTTGGCGATAAAGTAACCACGGTAAAGTAACTGTATTGTTGTTGTTGCTAGTGTTAAAATGTAACGTTTATTGACCTAAACGTGAGTCGCGCCTTCTGTTAATGTTTTTGCTGTTTGCATTTCAGATCTGACTTTTTTTTTTCAATTTCAATTTCATTTTTGTTGTTTTTGTTTTCGTCATGTGAGCAGCACGCGATTTTGATTGTTATTGTTGTGTCAGTCTTAACGGTTAATTATGTAGTTATTTTCCCTGACAAATTACCCTCGATTATATCGAATGGCTCTACTCAATCGAGATAAAGCCAATAGTCAATAATCTGTTATCAGCTCGAATGAATTGGCCGGCATTGTATTCGGTCGGACAATTTAATTGTAATTCCAAGACTAAGGCATGGAATAAAACTAATAAGTATTTTGCTTTTTTTTGTTTTAATAAATAGGAATTTCCTTTTGGCTTGTTATTTGCAATTAGCATTTTCAATAGATTATTATAAGTATTTTTCCGTTGCATAATTTCGAAATACTACACGGAGATATTGCATATAAATGGCCGTTAAGATAAATAATTAGTTATTAAAAAATGAATATTTTCCAATATATATATTTTTAAGAAATTTTGTAATTTCTGTCATTGCGTTTTGTTATTAAATTTAGCATATTGCAGGGCGTACTTTTTTAAATATATTATATTTATATTTCAAATATTTAATATCAGAAAATGACTTTTTTGATATGATATATTATAAAAATATTCTTTCCTATATTGTTTATATATTTTGCTATATAGTTATAATAATATATTATATATGTATATATTTATAGGTATACCCCATATCGTACTCACCAGCATAGCTATGTTGAGCATGATGACCTCGTCGTCCTCCCGGCGACCTTCGGACAGATGCTCCTGCCAGACCAACGGATGGCTGGGCGTTGTGGACATCGTGTTGTTGTCATTGAATGTGATGTTCTCATGTGTCATGAGCTCTCTGGAAACATAAAGAATTCGAAATAAGTCTCCAATTGGATAAATGCTTTCCTTTGGCGACTCACTTGTACACATAGGGACCCACTTCCTCCACTTGCAGCTTTTCGCGACCCGCTAGAAAGGCCTCCGCATTGGTGATGTTGAATAAATATATTTTGATATATAAATCGACTGGTGGCTTGGCCCAAAGATTGAAGATTTCACCATTGTCGGCCATTACCAATTTCTGCAAGATCAAATTATAGTTTTAGATATATATGTATATTCCGATGAATATGGTGCTCTCAATGGCGGGCCAAATTGCAAGCGCCAAAAACGGATTGCATTCGAGAAACTATGTATTCGTATATTTGAGGTACGTGTCGTGTGTCGAAGGCAAGAGAATTGTTAATAGCGCATTATGATCGTCCGTCGACCATTTGGCAAAGGCTAAGGCTGAGGCAGTTAAAAAAAGCTTTAGTTTCTGTTTATTGGACTCACCCATTTGAATATCAAATCGTAGGGCTGAAATACTTTAACCAGCACCGCCGCTGTTATGGCCAAAAATCCAATGGCCAGCAGCAAAAAGGCGCCTGCAAAAAACAACAAAAAGAAACAAACATTATAGATTGACAATATCTATATATATACAGATATATATATGTGTTTGTATAGTATATTAAAATAAGTTGTTAAGTTTCGTCGAGTACATATAAATGACCTCATTAAGTTAATTAAGACACGATTAATTATGCATAAATAGGCAGCGTGTGCGACACGTAAAAATGAAAATTGAGAATTGAATTGAGAATTGAGCAGAAGAAGAAGAAACAAATATGAATTATGAAATTTGCATAACAAAAACTGATAGTGTAAAGAATTTCGACAAACAAATTTTAATTTTGCCGGCCTTTTGTAAAAATTATGAAAAGTTCTAAGAGAAGAACTCTCCACCCTTTGCCATGTGACACACCTGTGGGAATTATAATGCTAATTGACAGCAAATCTTATTGACTAGGATCATAGGCATAACATATTCTACTAGAGACTCTAATGAAAACTAACTGACAGTAGAGCTTAAATAAGTAATTTATTTAAGAGAGATTACACGAGTCATACCATCGACCCTGAAATGTTACCCGGTCTTAAGTCTTCTATAGTGTCTGAGCTCCATTGCCTGTCTGATGTAAATTATGTTAATCTCTATGGCAAGCATTATGTCCGAACAAGACAGTATCGCGACAGTATGCCGACAGCCACAGCTACATATATGTAGCTTGAGTTCTCGTTCGAGTCGGCCGAGTTCCTCGTGAGACTCTGACAAGTGCGCAATGTAAGTTGCTTGAATCACCAGCATGAGTCTTCAATCATTTAGCGCGACGCTCGATTATCGCCCCGGCTCGCTCCGACCCGCCCTTATTTATATATGCTTGCATACAAATCTCTTTATTAAGGCAATAACAAGAACAAAACTTGAACTGTTAACACTTCTGTGCGAGAGAGAGAGTTCACTGTGGCAAACGAGCACAGTCACTAGGCAACTTGTTCTCTCGATAATCGCAAAGGAATTTCAGCGAACGATGCGTGGCAAAGACACGTGCATGAGCTGCTGCTGCTGCTGCTGCCCAAGCAGATTGGGAGAGATGGCGGCCAGAGAACGGGTTTTCAATTATCAGCCCACAGCCATCAGCTATCAGCCATCAGCCATCAGCATTCAAATATACGACTACGCTTTAAAACGAAGAATTAAGAATATACATAAACTTTTGCTTTTCTATAGATCTATACATATATGCAAATATATATATAGATATATGTATATATAGCTGCTTAGCTTGCATCTGCCAAGGAATAGTCGATTGGTTTGTGCCAGCGACAGAGCCAGCGCCAGCGCCTTATAGCCATGACTTGTTTGGCTCTTAATGGGTTTACTATTAAAATGCACAGTGGGGCATATGACAAATAGAGTATATAAATAGCTATAGGATATTTTGGGAAGCATATATGTAAGCGATTTTATTGCTTTTAGAAAGGAAATATTCATGAATTTCTAAGAATTTGATATAAGAATCTACTAAATTGATTGAATTATAAAAACATATTTAAATCTAATACCTATAGACTTATAGCCTTTATGTAGAAGTAAAAGTCTTTCTATAGAACTCTTATTCAAAACTCAGATATTTTGGGTTAATCTAGCAAATATTCTGATTTATATATATAACATCTTTCAGCTTATTGTAACTCTAATATTGTAGGCTGTACTGCTGATCCTCTAGAGTAACTCTCATTTTAGAACTTCACAGTGAGAGCAGCTCCTCATTAGTAGCTCAGACACATATAATGAAAGACTGTTTCGAGTGCAAAAGTCTGATCTACTTAGTTTCCCTGGCAGTCCCATGTGCTATATGTGTAATAAATTTGTAAGCTAACAAACAGCTCGAAATCAGGCCAATAAGAAATCACACATGTTCTTAATCGATCAAGCTGAACGTACTCTCTCGTTACGTGATCGACTCATAAGTATTCCACTTTGATTTGTTTTCAAACTTGATGCAGAGTCAATTTAACTCACACTTAGCATTATAATTTGTATAACAATTAAAAAGATCAAGCCGATTAGCTGATCTTCAGTATTAAATAACACTTATTAAATCAGCGCAGCTTTTAGCAGTCGGCCAATCAATTCAGATATATATATATATATATGTATATTGTTTTTTTCACACCAGCCTAACTGATCCATGGACTAGATCGTACCGGTTAGAAACATCGCATATAATTCCGATTCGAATGATTCACATTAAAAGCGATCTTGATATTGAGTTAAGGCTATAGGATTTAGCCTCTTAGAGCATATCGTATTCGTTGCGACCTTGGAATTGAATCTTTTGTGGCTGCATTTGTCTTGAGCCGTGTGTATTTATATTGAACTTGTTCTGTGCCAATGTCTTCTGCTGGCCGTTTAGATCCTGTTGTGTCAGGCTCAACCAGTTTGAAAGGGAATTTTCCTTTACAGCCAATTGGTATTCTTTAGATGGCCGCCTCTTTTTATGATCACGAAAGAGCCATATAAAGACTTTATATCGAGCTACAGCAGTGCCTAGGTGTATGGGTATTACATTCCTAACCACTAACCGCCAGTTTATGACATAATGCTAGTTAATTACAGTTATTAAATAGTCTCTGATTGGCTTACACATCAATTGCCGGCGATTCTGTAATTGTTGAAAGTGACGCAGCTTCTCCAGCGAGAAGCGACGATGCGAATAGAGGGCACCCAGAAAATCCTTGAGCGACTGACGTCGCAACCGACGACGCACCACGGTCATAATGAGTGTATATCGATATGCTTTAACTGTTATTAACTATATATTATCTATATGAGTTTACACACATGAATATTTGTATTTATATTTGATGTGTTCGTTGCAAAGTCAAAGCCAAACTAAAAGTCGATGAATTGTCAAGGGTCCGATGTACCCTCGGCTACTTTCATTTCGAGCTCGGCAAATTATTAATTGCTTTTGATGCGCTCAGAAAGGGTATAACGCAATTCGCATGCAGTTTGTCGTTTCTATTTTTTAATTTACGAAACGGAATTGTAATATATATTTAGTTTAAATATATATTGAATAAGTATAAGAAACTCAGAAATAAGTTTGAAGAATTTGAGAATTTTTTTATGAGAAAAAACTAAAGTTAAAATTGAATTGATTTCTTAAAAATTAATGATGTAATTATATAAATTTAAAAAATTTTAAATAAAAATTATGTGTTAAGAAAATTGATTTAAATAAATATCAAACATAATTAAGAGCTCAAAGATAAGAAAAAAACTTGAAGTTTTAATGAATTTTTAGATCAAATATAAAACTTGAGTTAAAATTTCATTTACTTGAGTTTCTTGAAATAAAATTTTTTTGTCAAGATTTGTTTATATTAAATATACTAAAAATATATTAAATTAAATATATTAAATTAAATTAAATTAAAGTAATATATTAAATTAAATAAAAGTAGTTTAAGTAAATAACTTTGAAAACTTCAAGAAATTTAATAGATAAATATATATATGATATTTAAATAATTTATGTATATATATTTATTAAATATTAAAAAATATTTTTTGCTTAGAGAACTAATCTATTGAATTCAATAAATAGCACATTCAAATATATGCAGCATCTAAGCAATAGGGAAGTTAGTGTATTTGCTGGTTCGACTTGTTGTGTTTGCGTAACTTCAAACGCTTCATCATTTTCGATTGGCTTTTAATCAATCGTTTTGTATGCACTGGCAGTTCCTGAGCTTAGTGGTTAGGTGCAAACGACAAAGTTATGAACAAAGAACGCTTGGCTATATTTAAATAATGAAATCTTGATTTGCTTTGCGTTTGTTGTGCTCAAATTGAAAGTTGCCAAAAATAATAAACCGAATTAGATGCAGAAACAGAAAAAAAACAGCCCAGCGCTGCATATTGAAATTATGTTGATTTGTTGTTTGTTTGATTACTTTGTTTGTTACTCAAAATATTTATTTATAATTTTGTTGATGTGCGGCACGTTCGGCAGGTGCGCTTGCCACCCACAAAGATTTGGCAAAGAATTCGTGGGAATGGGCCACCAATTTGCAGTTGGAGCACGCAGCGCACGCGTTCAACAACAACACCAAGACAACAACATGTGCTCGCGAAAAAAACAAACACATTTACGAAGTGCCACCACGTTCGTGTCTTAAGTCTTTTGTTTGCTTATCAATAAATTTCGCCTGTCAACACAGAAACGAAACCGAACTAAAAAAAACAAACTAATTCCACAACGGCTGCCTCTGTTACATCATTTGTATAGGGAACAGAAGAAGGAGGCGTGGCTACGCACACAGCTACTGTGTATGTGTAAAATAAAAATGTATATAATAAATGTTTGTTTTTTTTTTTTTCATTTTGTTTCATCTTCTGATGTGATTTTCAATTAAGATTGCGTTGTACCCGCCGATCGATCGCATAGCCTGTAGGGCAGGTTAATTTCTGTTAAACTAATCGTTTGCTGAATATCGGCATTGATTTATAGTTATGTTTTATAGAGAACAATTGCGTTGTCAGCATTCGGAAACCTGATCTGATACCCAACATGACGTCAATCGTTTGAAGAGGTGACTGACCAAACTGAGGTTTCAAACTATGCAAACTTTAACTGTCTATGCTGCCTTATCACTGGCAGATTAAACAAAAAATTTGGCAACTAGGAATATCCCATAGAAAGTGCCAAGTTGTATTTTTTTCTTTATTTCACTCTTAACTTAACCCAATTATTTGTTTATGACACTCAACAGAAGATTCCATTCAGCAGACTCGTTCAGGTTTTCTCTAACAGCTAATGTACTGACGGAACGAATGAATCACAATCAGCATTAGCCGACTTTTGCTTACTCTCGATGAATTGGCAAGTCTCGAGTACTTTGAGCCGGCCCCAGAGACCGGGAATTACCCAGAAAAGATACTATTGGACAGAAAGTTATGCGCACAGCTTCTATTAAACCGTTTGGAATGTTGACAAGTGTACACAAAGCTGACGCAAAAATTGATTAAGCGATGATCGCACGGACAGAGGGCGCCCAAAGCCAAGTCAAGCAATTACACGTACTGCACGTACTGTAAGGCGATTGCAACATTTCGCCTGTTGCAGCAACATGTTGCGAACAACTGTTGCCGCAGCCATAACTGCAAGCAAACATTTTTAATGAGTTTTATTTGCTTTTTTTCCAATTTTTTTTTTTTTTTGCGCAAAAATGCATTAACCAAAAGAGAGGTAAAAGCTGACGCCTACTTCATATGCCCTCTGTTGCAAGAGCTGCATTCAAAACTATTTAAGCCCACTGGCGAGCATGATGTCTATGGCATGGCAGCCAAAAGACGTCAGACATTATGGCAACAACAACATATAATAGAATTTCATTACAAAATATTTATAAATATTGATGATGGGGAAAATGAGCTGCATATTTTATGTATGTCTCGATATGTTTTTGATCGCACAAAATTACGAAAATGGCAAACTTTCTGATAACTAAAGCAATTTTCGAAAAGTTTACCAAAAAATCTAAAACCTAACATTAAATTGAAAATTTCTTTTTATAGTTTTCTTGTGTATTTTTTTTTTAATTTTGTATGTAATTATTTATATAAATATATATTTTTTGTATTTTTTTTATTATTTTATATTTTTTACTTATTGTATACTTCTTATATATTTTTTATTTTTATATATTTTCTGTTAATATTTTGTTTTGTTAATTTTAATGCTTGTTAAAATTTTTTTAAATTAGATTTTCTATATATTATTTATATATTTGATGATTTTTTTAATTTTTTAAGATATTCAATATTTTTATTTCTTTTAAATTTTTAAACATCATTTTTTTATTTGTTTCAACTTTTATACCAATTTGTCAAGTTTTTGTCGCACAATTTTTTTTATATTTCTAATAAAACAATATTTTTGTAGACAACATTTTAGCTGAAGTCTAAACAATTTCAACACTTTACTTATTTATTAAAATATGGTTTTAATTTGATGGTTTTAATTTATTTTCCAATTTAAATTTTATATAATTTTTTAAGAAATTTTCAAGTTTTATACAAAAAAATTGACTTTAAGGCAATTTTACTTTTGCATTCATTTTGTGTTTTATTAACCATAAATTTAGGTTCACGGACTTATTTTTAGTTAAGAATTAAAATCAAAATTAACTTAGGCTCTAAAATTCTTGAACGATAATCGATAAAAAAGCTTTTGTTAGCCGCATTTAGATCGAAACGCATTTTGGCATAGAGAGTTATGCAAAGATGTTGTCGGATCATTCATTGAAATGTTCGATGAGCTAAATGGAATACGTCGAATTATAAGCAGATGCTTTAAACTAGTTTTGGCACTTAAGTCAGCCAAAGTTCGGGCTCGCCAAAAACCACAAAAAAGAGGAAGAAGAAGCAGAGATCTCCTGCCAAAATCGTAGTCAACGCATCAGCAACGCGTGTTCAGTTTGATGCGGTTTTTTGTTTTTGGCGCATTATATGGAATGCCAGTGGGTTGGCTTCTATTTATTTATTATCAGCAATGAACCGCTTTTTTGCATAAATAATTTTTTGCACAAAAACAAAAATAAATAAAGGAAAGAAGCTGAGGCAGAAGCAGAAGAAACAGAAAACGAAAAACAACAAATCTATATAAAAATACATAAACGTTAACAATCCTGTTTGGCCATGAGCAGGCACTTTTATTGTAATTATTTATATTTTTTTCTTTCAGTGTCGATGTTTTTCTTAAACACATGTCTCTGCTGTATGTGTGTGTGTATGTGGCCACATTTGGGAGCAATTTATTCAAGCAGAGTGCGAAACTTGTTCGAATCTTGTTTCAGGTCAGGGAGGGGGTGTATTGACACCTAATGAATAACTGTGAAACAATCGATTTGCTAATTCTTCTGACAATGCTCTTTTTTCTGCCTGGTTTGGGCACTTTTTATAAATGCCAATAAGCATGTATACATCTTTGTCATATATATATATATATATATATATATATATATATATATATATATATATATATATAGTATATAGTATATATTATATGTATTTGAATTGAGTTTGAAAAAGTTTCGAAATGTTCTCGGATGTATCTACATTTATTTATTTTTATTCTTTTATCTACTGTTTTCAAACACTTTATTTGAATAGTTGAAAACTCGCTTTGAATGCGAAATGAACTATGATGATTTATGATATAATCATAAACAAATCAGTTGTTTATTAAAAAGTCCGTCTTGCGACGTCGTATTTTGGGTTTTTTTTTGTTCTCTTTGCGCGTGGCTCTAATTAGAATGACCAATATGCTTAAGCAGTTCACTTTGGGACTTTCACCTGTTCAGGGGCGATAGCTCCATTAACAACTTGCGATTTTTCTGCGGTTAACTTTGCAACTGCCAGAGTTCAGGCCGTTTAATTAGACGCCCATAGTGAACAAACATTTGCTTTTCACATGCATGACTAATCAAGATATAACTGCATTGGATACACTGCATTTCATATTGTTAAGTAATATTTTGGTATTATATAACAGATCGAACTATATACATCATATATGCTTGACAAGCAATGCAACAAATTCATTTGAAAGTAACGGCACATTGCTTAGTTAAACATATATATAGATAGATATGTCAAGCGGTAAAGTGTTGTCAGCCACTGGATTCTTAAACAAACATCTTAAGTACGTCTAATTTTCTGATTATTATTTATTGTAATGTTCGTAATATTATTTTTATTTTACTTTCATTGTTTTAAAGTAAGATTTTAAATAAAAATAAATATTAAAAAAAACTGCTCCACAGTAAACAGTAAACTATTTTTATATTTTAAAATTGCCAAAAAAATATTTATGAAAAAATTTTTAAATATATATACATGTATATATGTATTTATATGTATATTATTTTATTATTTAACATTTAATTTTTTTTTAATATTTTTTATGCTGCAAATTATGTTTGTTATTTATTTTTTGTTATTTTCTAAATGCTTATATACTTTTTATTTTTAATTTAATTTCATTTAAGAGTTTTCTTTGCTTAAAAAAATAAGACTTTTTTACCTAACATTTTTTCGTTCACTTCAGATATTATCAATTTTTATGTATTTTTTCACTCACTTTAATTAAACATGAACTTTTCAATTCACTTTTTAAGTTTAGTTTAAATAGCGTTTTTTTGTACACTTTATAAGCAACACAGAATCCACTAGAATACTGCCGTGTCAGCTTGTTGTATACTTCACATAAATCTATAAATTTGTATAATTTTTAATACATTTTTATTTATTATTTATTCAGCTCTGGCTAACATTTAATTTTCTTTGCACCCACAAAGAATTTTTTATTTTATAGTTTTATTTATTTTTATTCGAACATTTGTTGCTTATAATTATATGGCGAACATTTATAAGGAAGTAAATATTCAACTAATTGCGTTCAATTGTTTTTTCTTATTTTTTTACTATTATTATTTTTAGCTCTCCGCAACGAGTTCTTATTTACTTATATATTTTTATTTGGGAATAAGCTACAACAACAACTAAGTGTATGTATATTAACATGCTCAAGAAGAGCTTCTGTGATTTTCGACAACGTCTTCGTAGATATCTTCCAAATTTCGTTTAATTTGCTGTGTACATAAATGAAAAATGTGCGAATTCGTGTTGTTCTTGACTTTTGAAAGAAACGCGCGCGAGTTTTTCAGCTTTATTTTCAGCATATATAAATATATATAATATACACATACATGCATATATATATGGCTAGATGAAGGTGACAACAAAAATGTTATATAGAGGTCACAATGTGGAATAGAAGCCGTTACTTGTCAACTACCTCGAATGCAGTTGCCCAAAGTCGCGAGCGTTTTAAAACGCGCATAAACCGCTTGGCAACTGCAACATGTATACAAACAGAAACTTGTATTGCCCGCTTGGCTCGGCTTCTAGGCTTTTATGGCAAGCATATGGTCAAGTTCAGGGTCGAAATGATGCCTGGCCAGATCGCGTGCACTGGCCAAGTGCGAGACGCGTTTTGGGCGCGTTTCGCTTTTTGATTTTTTACTATAGGACTACAACGAGATTATTGCCGAAGACTTTTGAAATCAAATGATGAAAAAAACTGTGTCAGTGTCAGAGAGTTGCTTATTTAATCAACAAAACTTCGAGTAGAAAAAACAACAAAACATAAAGTGCTATGTTAAACAGCATCGAGCTATGTGTTCCGTGTGGCGTTTTTGTGACGCGTTTTTAAACGCGGCAGACAAATTTTCATAATTAATGCAGACCAAAGCGAAGCGACAAAAGATGCGTTTAGCCGGTTTTTTTTTTTTTTGTTAACCGATTGGTGATTGATGATTATTATAATTTTTGGAATCTTCGAGAAGCTCTAAGTCAAATACTTTTGCACTTTAACTCATAATTATTTAAACACTTCTTCGATCGGATTATGTTATTTTTGGTTGTTGTCTGAACTTACGTGTGGGTGAGCGTGCATTGTGCTTGCCATGCTGGCGCTCATCGAAGAAGCTGCCCAATATGTCCATGGGCTTCATGGAGCGATTTGCCTTGAGGCTCTTGCGACGCTGGGCGCGCTGTAGCGCCGCCAGCGCCGCTGCGGCTGTGGCAGGATCTGCTTCTGGCAAGGATGTGGCTGTGGCTGCAGCTGCAGTTTGAGTTGAACTTGCATTTGGTTTTGGTTGCGTGGCGGCTGCGTTTGCTGCCATTTGATTTGGCTGGTTCGCATTCACGCCCGCCTCCTCATCGCTTACACAGACGGCACTATAGCGACGCGAGAACATTTTGCCAAAGTCCTTCATAATTGCATAGGCATATAAATAAAATGTTGAAAAATAATTGTATTTTTCGTACACTTGAGACACTCTTTTGGCTTTTTGCTTTTGGCACTTAAAAACTTGTTGCTTTTGCTGCGTTAGCTCCTTGGAATCAATTACCACTTGCTTGCTTAATATATATACTAACTTTAAATAACATTGATAGACTCTTTCATTGAAATCTTAAATCTTTCTAAGTGTGTCCCAGCTGGATGTTGGCCTAAGCGCGTATGCGTCCGTTCGCTGGCGTTGCTCGCTTATGAATGAAAACCCGGACGTGCGATCGCCGCACCAGGTAAAGTTACGGCTTTAAGTTTTGATTTTTTTTTCTCGAATTTTGTTTTTTTTTTTTTTTGCAGTACGAGTTTTAGTACGAGCGTTTACCCGTCCGCCAACGACAAATAGTTGCGTTCGTTCTCTCACACGCTCTCCGCGCGCTCTTTGGTCTAGGGTAAGCGCTCTCTGTGCCAGTTGCTCGCTAGCTGGCCTTACGTTACGTTAGCGTTGCGTTGCGTTACGTGACGCTAAAGATCACGTTTAGCACTCGCTCAGCTGTTGCTTTGTTGTGAGCCGGTCTGCTGAGGCGGCAAAGGCGGCGGCGGCGCCGGCGGCGGCGACAGCGTTAGCTGCTGCTTCTTTAGCTGCTTCGCTCTGATCTTAAGCCCGAAATGTTGTAAACCAGTTTCGCATTCACTTGCGCCGTTTCGCATTTTGGGGAAATACCATTGGCGTTGTACGTTAAGGCACACATTACTCATACGGCGCGTGGTACACAACAGCTGTCACAGTAGCAGCAGCAGCAGCAGCAGCTCAGCCGCGGCATTATGGAAAACTTTTAGATATTTACATGCGCACTTTGTGCCTTCAGCCAAATACGCATTTTAAATCAAGTTTATGTCGCTTGTAACAATCAGCATCGATCTACGGTCTGCAGACACAGTGTTGTCTTCTTCTTCTTCTGTCTGTTGTGGCTGTTGTTATTATTGTTTTTTTTTATCGGTTTTTTTCGTCTGTTCAATCTTGGGGCATTCACTAAAACTCAATCACCTTCAATTTTGCATGCAAGCGTCAACAATTTTTTATTTCTTATTTTGGGCATTTCGATTTTTGTTAAGAGTTCAACACAATATCAAGTCATATTTTTTTTTTGGTTTGGTTTGCCTTGCCGTTTAGAAATTTCTCGAATGAATTAACAGTTGCCACCGGTTGTTGTCGCTAACAGCACGCGAATATATTCAAGTTATTCATTTGGCTTCAATCGAAACACGCCCATTCCAACAGTTACTCTTAGCAAATACTTAAGTGGCATATTTGCACTGCGTTTTGCGCTTGGACGGGGGCACGACATGGCATAGCTCAGCTCTGATTGAGGGTTTATAGCGATCTAAGTTAGCTAATAGAAGACTTGCAGTGAAAACAACACAAATCAGGCGATGCTTCCTGCTTAGGCAATAGTTCTTGCCTAATAGCCAACGATGACAACAACAAAACTAAGCTAATGTGGGAATTTCAGCTAAAATTCTGTTTGCTATGCTTAGCTGAGAAATATGCAAAAACAAACAAAAACAAGTTCTTAAATGTTGTTAAAAATAGACTTAGGTGGAGCTAAGAAAATTGATATAAATGAATAAGAAACAGATTGATGTTGAAGTCAGTCTATCTAGATGCGAATAGAAATATTTTTATTTGTTGCATACTTTTGAGGAAACTGTTAGCTATGAACTTCTAATATCTACTTTGGCGTTAGATAAGTTGATCGATGGGCAGCGCATCCAAAGCTGATCGCTTCTAATCTGACTACCATGAACAACAGGCAAAGCTTAGACACTTTTAACAGCAGGAGAATCTTAGATAGAATCTTAGAATAAGGAATAAATTTGTCTACATTTTAGGTGTATATGACTTATAGGCCCACTCTCTGTATATATATTTTTTAAAGGCAATAATGATAATGATTATGATATTAGAAATATATAACTTAAAAATGTCTACACTAAAACTTTATAAATTGTACACTATATTGATGTCAAAATTCTTATATATATAGATATATGTAATAGTGTCAATAAGCTTTGACTTTGCTAATAATAGTTATGCAAATGTTTTATGCACTATCAGCCAAGTCGTTTGTTGCCCTGACCGCTGTTTCGATCTGCTTTTGCTGCTTGCCGACTAAGAAATCTTCTCTCTCTCAGGTGCTGCCGACCAGCTTGGAACCTTTATCTTCAAGGTGGAGTCCTTCTATTTGCTCCAACTACTGCTTATTAGAATCGCATTGAAAATGATTTTGACGATACACAATGACAATGATATAGAGTGTAATATAAATGTTCAAAGTTTAAGATAATTTATCTTTTTTGGCTACACAATGTATATATATTAATATAAAAATAATTTATATAATATAAATACATATATATATAAAATGAGAAGCAGAGAAATCCAACTTATACACAAATTATTATTGAAATTTAATTGGCAATTTAGCTAATGCTTTCTATCCGGCAGCTGTTCAAGTTTTTCTAACGCCCATTCTGAAAATCTGTCAATCGATTTGAGTATAAATTATTTATTGAATGTCAGCAAATATATAAAATTGCATTAAATACAGTTATTGAATGTCAGCGAATGCAATTTTTGATTGCATGCAAAATAATGTCATTGAACTTGACGTTGCAATTTCCAAACTATAATTATAGTATTTATATTATAATTTTTTTTTTTTGATATATATACGACTTTTTGCTGATTTCCTTTATCAATATTTCGCAAAAAGCAAAAACAATAAAATGAATATTATTTTTTGTCTTTATTATTTTTCATACGTCTGCGCGCTGGGATGCTTTATCAATTTCCGCATTGACAATTCATTTGCCGTTAATCTTTGACTCATGCGGCAACAAAAGCAACTTTTGTCAAGCGCCCCCAAAGAGATGTCAACTCATTCCCATTGTGCGCTTAGCCAGATGACCTTGCCAAAGGCCGCTGAACTCACACTTTGACACAACGGCACAGAATATACGGACAAAAAAGAAACACCAAACCAAAACACTTTCAATATATAGATATATATATATATATAAAATAAATAATACATAATTTTTTGAGACGATTTTTTGGTAGTTGTTTGAGCTTATGATGCATGCAAATACCCTACAATTGGGGTCTATAGTGTGCTCTCTTTAATTGTTCTTTATTGTTTTGTTTCCCACGCTCACACTAATTATGGCCTTTCTATGCAATTCTCACCAATCCAAGTACAATTTAGCTTTGATTATATGTTAACTGCCACGTTAATAACTTGTATTTGTATGTAATTAATACATTGATAGCCATGTTTACATATTCCAAAATAAAAAAATCAATTTGATTGATTTTGTATAATGGAAATTTATTGATTTCCGTATTCGAGTTTTGCTTATCATAAAATTTTTGAAAAATTTATTTAATGGGCTCAATATAATTGCCGTAATTTCCTAGAATTGTTTACAGTTAAACAACTCTTACCATAGACGCAGTCATTAGTGTTAGCCAAACGTCGAAATGCAATCTGTTATTGATAGGAACTGGCGCTAATTGGCCATTGGCTTGGATCGCAATAGATCCGCACGTCAGTTCTGTAATTAGCGCACTTGCTGGCTAATTCGCACCTGGTAATCATAGTTAGGTTTTCACTTTGATTAATTACAAATTACATGCGGAGCGAGTGGCATGCGAGACTGCATCATAAGGCAGGGTTCAGCTGGGGTCAACAGTTATTAGCCATTCGATTAGCATCTAACATATCTGATATATCTGATAGATATATAGTTCATGTATGGATATATATATATATCCATTACAATTTGCTAAATGCGGCCCAGAAACCATTTGCTTCGCTGTACCTTCTGGAGCTCCGAAATTGTGTGTCGCAATTTACCTTTTGAGCGCAGCTCGCTCATGTTTTATGGATGCCAATGAGACTTTGCCATCAATAAGCAATAGTTGCACGTTTAGTTCTGCGGCCCAAGCCGAAAGGCGAAAGCCAAAGTAAAATTCCATTTGTCCATTTAATTCGGGCACGAAAATAGACAAAAGTTCAACTGTTCATTTGAAAGTGTTAAGCAGACAAGTGCAATTTAAATTGGGACAAAGACAACAGAAAAAATACAATTAAAAACTTGAAGCACAACAAGAAACCAGCGCAACCCATCAAAACATTAGATATATAGAGAGATATATACATAGTATATATAACACAATTTCTATATTTAGAATATGATTACAGCCTGTCAAGACTTTTCGATATTCTCAATATCAACTAGAACTTTGCAAATTTGAGTTAGCCAGAAATGCTTAGGATAATCTTGAAGCATATTTTTATAGCAGACTCCAATATTTATTTTTAGCATATTATTATGCAGACATATAAAAAACCACATCAAATAAAACGTCCAAATAAAATGCTTAGTAATTACAGGCAATTGACTTTCTTTGGATTTGCTGCTTGAAGCTGGTTTTCCATATTAAGTAAGTCAGGTTTTTAAGACTTGGCTTGTGATGCAAGAGTATTTTTGAATTTGCGCCAGATTATTTTATTTGTTTTTATTTTTTATTCAATACTTTTTTCCAGATTTATTTCTAATATATTTATTTTTATAAATGTTAACCATTTTTTTATTTATTTTCTTTAATACATATTTTTTATTTTGTACTAAATTCAATTTAAACTCAACCCTTATATGGATCTATAAAATATATCAAAGTCTTCATCAACATTTTAATTTATACATTGAGTTATTCGCATTTTAAAGAATTTATTCTTTTTTTACTTTTGCCTTAAATTTAGGAATTGTTGATTCGGGACGCGCTTTGTTAAATGCTTTACTTATATGAAACAATCGATTTACCAGTCTGCCTGTATAATATATTCAAATAATTTTTTTAAAAATAATATATTGATAAGACATTACTGTGCAAAATTTAATAAGATGTTATGAATATGTTTATAAAAAATACATATTTTTATTCAACTTTTTGTGCAAGATCTTTGACATTTTAATAACGCAGAAAAGAAAGCCATGCAAAAATGAAATATAGAAGAAAAATTTTAAAAATTTTAAGTGTATAAGAAAAATAAAAAATTATTTCTTTACAGCTTTTACTTTACCCTAAAAAATGCCTGAAAATTTTTAATCAATAAAGTTTCTGTCTACAAGACTCTGTGAGTCAAGCTTAACTAGAAAAATTGTATTTAATATTAAAAAATTTTTAATTATCTATATATCAAGAAATC